TTTTCCATTATTAGCATTTTTATAAGTAAATTATTGACTGCATGAAATAAAAGAAAATCAAATTTCCATAGGAAAGATTCCTAAATAAGGACTATTGGATCAAAAGTTATGAAAATTTAAAAATGCCTTATTGAATGAATTCCTTTGAAGCTATAGTAACCCTCAGGTGCTTATTCTTTTTGGATATGGTTCTGCCAGTCTAACCAAGTGCCTATTTCTGCACTTTATTATTTTCCATGAAGCAGTAAGGGAAGGGCTGAAGCAGCTTGGATGCATAGTGGGCAGGACACCTTACTAGGTTCTTCAGCACCTCAAAAAACTCCCTAATGTCCAGTAGCTTTATTTACTTTATCTTTAAGATAAGGGGGTAGGGGAACTCACAATCCTGCAATTCTCTGCTTCTCTGCAGGCTCCAGGAGAAATGCTGGGCTCTCTTATGTGATAAAGAGGCCAAGGAAGATACCAGTTTTCCAGAGAATTGCATATTTAAAATGATACAATTGACCAAACCACTATTGTGATTTCCTTCATGCATTTTCATAAGTGAAAGTTCATATTTACAATAGCTAAGCTTTGGAAACAGCCCAGATGCCCAAAAATAGATGACTGGATCAAGAAGATGTGGTACATATATACCATGGAATATTACTCAGCATTTAAAAAAGATAAACACGGGCCTCCCCGGTGGCGCAGCGGTTGAGCGCTGGGTTGCGAAGCTGCCCGCGGCCTCTGCGGCGCTGGTTCGATCCCCGGCTGCTCCCCGGCCACCAGAGGAGGGTCCCACATGGCGCGCAGACCTCTCCTGCCGCCCGCTGCTCCCCTCAGCAGTGTGCTTCGGTCCTTCTGCCTGCTCTGCTCCCCGCTCTGGCTCTGGTGAATTCTCTCACCTTCCCGCGCTTCTGACTGTACCCAGTGCATGTATAAACAAAACAAGCAAACAAACAAAATAAATAAATAAAACATGCCTCTATAAAAAAAAAAAAATAAAAAATAAAAAAAAAAATAAAAAAGATAAACACATGCAATTTGCAGCAACATGGATGGCGCTGGAAGGGATCATGCTCAGCAAAATAAGCCAGAAAGAAAAAGAAAAATACCGGATGGTCTCACTCATAGCAGGAATCTAGAAAACTTAAATAAGGGACCAGGAAAATGAATAACTGTAAGAAAGTGAAAATCAAAATCAACAAAAAACTATGAACCAGAGACACTTTTTGGGGGGTGGGGGGCAGGAGGGGAGGGACTGGGGTCAGAATGGGGGGGTTGAAATTGTATGGGGAATATAAAAATAAAATTTATTATTAATTAAAAAAAATAAAAAATTAAAAAAAAAAACTAAAAAAAAAAAAAAAAAAGTTCATTGACGACATTCTCCGGGAAGCAGGTATTATTTCTGTCTTAGAGCTGAAGGAACAGCCCAGACTGGGTAACTTGCCCAAGGTCACTCAACTAGGAGTGGAAGGGAGACTCAAATCAAGTATATGCCTCCACAGCTGACACTTTGCAACATTTCAAAGTGCAACACACACATTCACAGGTTTCACAGTGATTACTTCTCTCCTAAGAAGATTTATTTCAAGGGGACTTAAAGGTGAAGCAGTATTGGGGCCTTTCTGGTGGTGCAAGGAATTAAGCATCAGCACTGTGAAGCCGTCTGCCTCTACTGCAGCACGAGTTTGATCCCCGGCTAGGAAGGTGACCCACTTGGCCTAGCATATCTCTCCTGTCTTGCCCGCTGCTCCCCTCAGCAGTGTGTTTCAGTCAATCCGCCTGTTCTGCTCCCCACTCTGTCTCTGGTGAATCCTCTCAGCCCCTGCATCTCTGGCCTGCACCCCAGCTCTTGTATGCATAAATAAATCAATCTTTAAAAAAAGGTGAAGCAGTATTAATGTGTTTACTCCAATACCAGAAAAACAGTATGAACAAAACCACTAGGAATGAGACACTCTGAACTTCATAAAAAAGAGAGAGAGAGAAAAGCACACAAATAATCAATCTTAGTAATCAAAGGAATTCTTTCAGAAATGACTTGAACCATGATGGCAACTTTTTTTCTGCCTGAAGTCTTTTGGTTAGTCTTTTGCTTTAAGGAGTTTCTCTCTTTATATATATGAAGCCATACCTATGATTCTGAAAGTATGTAAAAGTATAATATTTTTTAAGCAAATTTATTACATTAATTATTCCCTGGGAGACTCTCAACCTCCTTGTTATTTTTCTTGTTTCTTTTATTTTGTGGCAAAGTCCCTGAGAAGCAGGTATCTATCACTCACAACAAAACATCTAAGATAATTTCTTCTATCTCCATTCATACGCCTTAAGCTTCAACATTCTTTGTGAATTAATCTTCCAGTTTGAACATGAAGCTGCATCAGTTTTAAGTGACTACAGTGTAATTTTCCCTACAGGAAATACACATTTATCAGACAATGCATTTTAAATCTTCATATTTCCAGGGGATATCAAGTTGGACTGTTTTCATAAGATCAAATCATCCTTTTAAGGCTACAGCATTCTTGTTTTTCTATCTTCTTAAGTTGGTAGTTTTTGCTAATCATTCCTACAGCTTTTATGGAATTCCGATTCAGCTTCATGAAGGAAGGGGCCTTATGGTTATATCCTTAACATCCAACACAAGGCAGGTACTCAAGGAGCATTTGTCCCATTCCAGCTTTATTAAACTATAATTGACATATAATAATAAATACTTGAATGAATGTATTCTTTTTTTTTAAAGAGGCATGTATTTTTATTTATTTATGATTTATTTATTTGTTTTTTGTTTATACAAGCACTGCACTGGGTACAGTCAGAAGCGCGGGAGGGTGAGAGAATTCACCAGAGCCAGAGCAGGGAGCAGAGCGGGGAGCAGAGCAGGCAGAAGGACCGAAGTACACTGTTGAGGGGAGCAGCGGGCGGCAGGAGAGGTCTGCGCGCCATGTGGGATCCTCCTCCGGTGGCCGGGGAGCAGCCGGGGATCAAACCGGCGCCACAGAGGTCGCAGGCAGCTTCGCAACCCAGCGCTCAACCGCTGCACCACCGGGGAGGCCCTTGAATGAATGTATTTTTCCCCGCCATTCATTTGGAGCACTTTTTATCATTTTACTTTTTTTTTTTTTAAGATTTATTTATTTATGCATACAAGAGCTGGGGTACAGGCCGCAGATGGGGGGTGGGGAGAGGTGAGAAGATTCATCAGAGACAGAGTGGGGAACAGAACAGGCAGACTGACTTAAATACACTGCTGAGGGGAGCAGCAGAGAAGTCAGGAGGTGAGCAGCAGAGAAGTCAGGAGAGGTCTGCTGTGCCATGTGGGTTGCTCCCTGGCCAGCTGGGATCAACTCGCCCTGCAGAGGCTGTGGATTGCTTCATAGTGCTGTGCCCAACCCCATGCGCCACAAGGGAGGCCCACTTTTTATCATTTTAAATATAGTAATTTCTTGCTGAGTTTGGCGGTGGCTTTCCACAAATATTGCCTCACATTTGGCAATGCAAGACAAATCAAAATGTTACAGGAAATAGGGGGTGAGGGAGGGGAAAGTAAACCAAACACTTGACAAAAATAAATAAATAAGTTGTTGCAGTACATGCTTTCAAAATAAAGCCTGATTAAGTGAGGATGTTCACTACCAGAAAAGCTTTTCTGAATCGCCTATTTATTTTCTTCAGAAGACATTATCTGAGGTACCCTCCCCTACAAATTGTGCACCCTGCACCTTACGGGGACTTGAACTGGCTTTCCGTTCTCTCTTGACTCATTTTCTCAACCTATGCTGGCAAAGAAATCCTGACAGACTTATTCATTCCATTCAGTGGAATACTGAGGATCTGCAATCAGATCCATAGGATCCGAGGGGTAGTTTTTCTTGGTCAACTGGAAGGCAAGCATTTCCCCATGAATAAGACGGCAGTGACCATTCTTGGACTCATTTTCGCTCAGCTCCCGACCTGTGGGATCACTTTGTGCCTGACTCATTGACCCAAACGTGTGTCCTTCACATTGTTTTCACTATGTCCACAGTTTTTTTTCCTCGAGGGTGAAAGCACAGCCTTCCTCCCCTCCGGCGCAGCAGCTTCTGTGCTTTCTCTGTCTCCCCCTCAAGGCCACACGTGGGCTCCGGGGCGCCCAGGGCTGGCGCGACGTCAAGGGCCGTCAGCGGGCACAGAAAGCGCCCCGATAACAGGCCACCGCGGGCCCAAGAAACGGGAGCGCTCAAGCTTCACGTGGGAAACTGCTGAAAGGGCGCCTTTGTTTCCTTCCTTGGCTCCGCTTTTCCCTTTTTTTTCCCGCTAATCTCAGCGCTTTTTTTTATCAGCGCCTGGGGCGGGACCCGAAGCCGCGCTCCTCCAGGCAACAGGCGGACACTCCGTCCCTTTCTTCAGAAACACGTGTCTGTGGAGCGGCGACGGCGGCGCGCGGCGACTCCCGCCGGGACCGCAGAGGCTCCCGCGGCAGGTCGCTCCCGCCTCACACCCGCCGCCCCAGCGCGCTCTGACCAGCGGCTTCCCGCCAGGGCGCGCCCCTGAGAGCGCGCCTCTCACGACGCCCCCTAGGGCAGAGCGGCGGCGGGCGCCCAGCGTCGGGAGGAGGCGGGGCAGGGCGCCTGCTTGTACGCTGCGAGCCGGGCGACCCGGCGTGAGGCCAGCCGGTAGAAGCCGCGCGGGTGCGGGGCAGGCGGGCCGAGCCTATAGAAGCCGCATGCGGAGGCGGGGCTCGAGACCAGCCAATAGAAGCGGCGCGCGGGGGTAGGCGAGCTTCAAGACCAGCCTATAGAAGTGGCGCGCGGAGGGGGGCGGGCCTAGAGACTAGCCTATCGAAGCCGCGTGCTTAAGGGCGGGGCGCGAGGCCGCGCGCTGAGTAGGCGGGACGCGCCTTTATAAGCGCGCGCCTCTGAGGGCGCGTCTGGACCGCAGCGGCGGGGTCGGCGGACGTGGGGATTTAGCGCGCCGCCAGCGAGGACGCTGAGGGACGCGGGAGAACTCGGGGGGAGGAGACGCGGGTGCGAGGCGGCGCGTCTCCCCGCCGCAGCTCCTCGGGCTCTCGCAGGCGGGCGCGGGCTGAGGCGGCCCGCGGAGGTGAAGCTGGGCGGCGCCGTTCGGGGGGGGCGTCGGGCGGGGGGCAGCGCGGCGGGGCCGGGGCGCATGCGGGCCTCGTGGCCCCCGCGCCGCCTGTGGGGCTGAGGTGTCCTTGGTCCGGGAGGCGCCCGCCAGGGACGTGTGCGTGGGGCGGGCTCGTTCCTCGCAGCCGCAGCGAAGACCCTCGGACCTTCGGGCCCGCGCGGCCGGGGCGCCGCGGGGTTCCCGGGTCCGGTGCTGACGGCGCACCTGCTGGCCCGGAGCAGTCAGCGAGCCGCGAACTGTGGCGTTTGGGTTTCTTTCCAGTGTCGCGGTCGGTGACGAGCTGCGGCGGGTGGTGAGGGGCGGTGTGAGGGGGTGCGGCTGGCGGCCCTCGCTCCTCAGTGTCCTCGCTTTACCGTGTGGAGAGCGGCCCCTCGTCTTGGCTGGGTGGAAACTGAGTTCTGGAAACGTCCCCCGTGTGGTAGCTTTGCTTCAGCGAGGCGCTGGTGCTGGGCACTCGGGGCCCGAGAGGTAGCGAGCGGGAAGCCCCGCGCTAAAGCGCCTCAGGGTCTGGAGCTCACTTCTCTGAGGGAAAATTTTGAGGCCGCTCTTTAGACCTTCGAGGGAAGTTAAAGCCTGGACGTCACCTTCTGCGTCTGAATTAATTTTATACTTGTTTCCCCTTCTTTCTGCAGCAGCATCTGTTTCAATGGTGCGACTTTCTTCATCTCCTTTTGGTTACCAGTCAGCCTCAGGCGCTTCAGAGGAGGGAAGTGCGGGGGACATGAAGTCAGCCAAGCCCCCGGGGAATCACAGTGAGGAGAACCGACCCCTCAGCCCCCTGCCATCCTCCGCCTCTCCTGCCCAAGCATATGAGACATACATTGATAATGGACTCATATGCCTTAAGCACAAAATTAGAAACATCGAGAAAAAAAAGGTATGGCCCCCTACCCCCGGGCCTCCATCTGCACCATCTTTTTTTTTTAAGATTTATTTATTTATTTATACAAGCACTGGGTACAGTCAGAAGCGTGGGAGGGTGAGAGAATTCACCAGAGCGGGGAGCAGAGCAGGCAGAGGGACCGAAGTACACTGCTAAGGGGAGCAGCGGGCGGCAGGAGAGGTCTGCGCTCCATGTGGGACCCTCCTCCGGTTGCTGGGGAGCAGTCGGGGATCGAACTGGCACTGCAGAGGCTGCGGACAGCTTCGCAACCCAGCGCTCAACCGCTGCGCCACCGGGGAGGCCCCATCTGCACCATCTTAATAAGGGTTAAAGAACTGGTGTTTTTTCTTTCTTCCGGGGGTCGTAAGTATTCCTCACTGAAGTTGAACTAACTTTGGAATTTGACTATCTAAAAACATACAAGTAGGCCAATATTGGGTATATTAAAGGTTGTCAGTGTGAAGCTGAATGAAAATATTCTTTATACTATGAATTTATTCATGCTACGCTTGAAATGCTTGAAGAGCTAGCTGCTTTAGAGCATCAAGTTAATTCCTTGAATGTCATTTGTTTCTTTTCATGATGAAAATAGCCTCAGTTTTTCACCTTATTTCCTTTTGGCTCTGCAGTGGTTGGTATCACGCATTAGCTGCTGCAGTCATTGGAAGCTCTGCTCATAGTAGAGCCAGAAAATGCTTCAGCACTCACTTTTGTGTTGCTAGGTGATTGTTTACTATGGTAGCTGAAAACATGGAGAGAGTCTTGTAAAGAAACTCGGGGGTTACAGTCACCCTATGGCTACAGTAAATGCCAATATCAAGATGGAAATCATTCCTCATTTCCTGAGTCATGGAGCCTGTGATGTTGCTTTGTGTCCTGATTCTCTTTTGTTTATCACAGTAAAGTGAGAGATAAGCTGTCTGTATCTGTGGACACTTAAAATATTTTTAATGCCAAGACCAATTCACACCTTAGAGAAGTGAGTGGAAGTGAATGGAGAGATCCTGAAGAGGCTGGTTGACTATTTCTGTTTTTCTTTTTTTTAATGTGCTTGGAAGACAGTGAAGGTGGTGAAGAAGGACTCAAAGATTTCTAGTAGCTTCTCTGTGGCCCTAGGTCACATCACTTGTCTTTTGAAGGCATGCAGTTAGTCACTGTGGGAAAGTAGTCAAAGCAGGATCTGTTGGTGGAGACTCAGTCCCCCCTCAGGTGGCAGAACCAAGTGTGTATGTGTATTGAGGCTCCAGATAATTGGGGCTCTTAGTTCATCTTGAATACTGACTGATAGTATCAGTGCTCTGTTTCAAGCTTCTGGGGGAGCTTTTTTTTTTTTTTTTTTTAAAGATTTATTTATTTATACAAGCACTGGGTACAGTCAGAAGCGTGGGAGGGTGAGAGAATTCACCAGAGCCAGAGTGGGGAACAGAACAGGCAGACTGACGAAATATACTGCTGAGGGGAGCAGTGGGTGGCAGGAGAGGTCTGCATGCCATGTGGGACCCTCACCCGGGGTCGGGGATCAAACCAGCGCTGCAGAGGCTGCGGGCAGCTTCACAACCCAGCGCTCAACTGCTGCGCCACTGGGGAGGCCCTCTGGGAAAGCTTTTTAAAGCTATATGCTAACATGGGAGGAGCCTAAACATCACTTTCAGAACACTATAGTGGATCATGTCATCATTATGGGTACGGTAGATGCAATTTATCTGTCATGTGTTTACTTAAATATTAATTTTTACATGAAAAGTAGCTGTAGGTTGAAGCTGCTTAAATGCTAGAAAGGAAATTATTTACCATCAGTGAGTCTCCTATCAGGCAAGGCTGACCTAATTCAATAGATAAGCCTGTGGTCAGAGCAGATTTCTCAGCCTTAACACTGTTGAGTTTCTGTACTGAATAATTTTTTGGTTGTGGGTATTGTACCATCCATAGTAGAAGGTTTTGCAGCACTCTGGCCTCTACTCCCAGATTCTAGTAACACCTCCACCTCCATCTAGCCTCCCAAGTTGTGATAACCAGATATCTTGCCAGACATCCTTGGAGGACAGAATCGCCCCCATTTGAGCATCATCACTGGTTAGGGGCACGTGATAGACCAGTTAAGGCCCTGTATGTTAATTATAGAGTTCCTTAAGAGAAAAAGGTATTACTGCTGCTTAACTTTTCTAATTCCAGACTAGTGTTGGTTGTGCGTGGCTTTTTTCCCTGACTGGAACGCCGTCACAAATGCTGCCTGCTTGTAGTAGTAATATAGTTTTCTTAGAGATTGATAGCTTACTTCAAGGATTTTGTTTTCCTAAGAAACAGTCAGCTATTTAATTTAGTTGCTTCAGGATTTTATGTCATAATAGATACAAGTTTCTCTTTTGTAGCTCAAACTGGAAGATTATAAGGATCGCCTGAAAAATGGAGAGCAACTTAATCCAGACCAGTTGGTAAGTGGTTTATAATCCTTTAGTCTAGCTTCCTTTTTTTTTTTTTTTTTTTTTTAAAGATTTAATTATTTATGCAAGCACTGGGTACAGTCAGAAGCGCAGGAGGGCGAGAGAATTCACCAGAGCCAGAGCGGGGAACAGAACAGGCAGATTGATGAAATACACTGCTGAGGAGAGCAGTGGGTGCGGCAGGAGAGGTCTGCGCACCATGTGGGACCATTGCCAGTGGCCGGGCATTGAACCGGCGCTGCAGAGGCTGCGGGCAACTTCGCAGCCCAGCGCTCAACCGCTGTGCCACTAGGGGAGGCCCCCTCTTTTTTTTTTTTTTTAAGATTTATTTATGCATACAAGAACTGGGGTACAGGCCAGAGGTGCAGGGGGTGAGAGGATTCATCAGAGACAGAGTGGGGAACAGAACAGGCAGATTGACTGAAATACACTGCTGAGGGGAGCAGCGAGCGAGTCAGAAGAGGTCTGCTGCACCGTGTGGGTTAGCTCCCTAGCTGGGGATCGAGTTGTGCTGCAGCGGTTACGAACAGCTTCATAGGTTGTATCTTAACCCTCTGAGCCCCAGGGAGATCCCTAGCTGCTGCTGCTTAATAAAACAGGCTAGGGGGATTCATTATACCAAAAAAATTTTTTTTGGTACACTTATAATGGGTAAATTATCTCAAAAAAGCTGTTTATTGAAAGTAAGTAAAAATTTAAGAACTCAAAATACCTAGTCATGATTAGATACTAGTTAAGATAGACTAACTGCTGTAACAAATCATGTCTAAATATTCTAACCCCAGTAAGAGTTTACTTCTCATTCATATCATAGTCTAATCAGATGTTCTTGGTTGTCATATGCCTTCCACATGGAGACCAGAGAATTGATAGGCTTAAAATAAGAGCAACACTATTGGATTTTTCAAAGAGCTTTGTCTTCAAAAAGCTTTGTCTATTAAATCTCATAGTTTGACTATCTTCTTGGGCACTAGTGGGTGGAGTGGATGGGAATGTGTGTTGTTCAGTAAGAGTAAAAATGCAGATAATCGCTAAAAGTTAACAGGGATTTAAATTTACTTGTACAGTAGGGTGGGCTGAAAGAAGAGTGGAATAGTACTCTGGCTTCCTGCTGTTCACTGGAAAATCCTAAACCACATCTCTTCCTACTCTAAAATGGAAAAGAACATTTAGTGTAGCTTGCTTTGATTTTCTCCCTTTTCTTTCCTTTAATTCCTTTTATGATTTAACCCTGTGTTTCTCTCTTGGATTGCCATACCCCTTTAAGAGGAGGTTTGTTTGCTAGAGAGCTGTCCCTTTTTTTGTTGTTTGTTTTTTTGTTTTGTTTAAACCTTGCTATAACAATCGCTTCTCGGCCTTTTGGCTAAGATCAAGTGTAAACCTTGCTATAACAGTTATAGACTACTTACAGTTTTTCTTAACGTTGTTTAACTTGTCCATGGTATACCTGGTAATTGCCACTCTGCAATGTGAAAGAAAAAAAATGCTTCATGGACCTTTGCTATTTTAATCTGTTTACATCTCATGGCTAAAAAGGGACAAAATTAATTAAACATTACTTGATCCAGCCTGTAGATCTGATTCATCTTTTTCAACTTAAGGTTTTTTGTTGTATATCATAGGCACTGGCATTCAAGGACTTTCTCCCTTGCCATGTTGATGCTTCTTCACTAATCTAGAATTTTTGTGATACAGTAAATAATAATTTTGCTGAGGTACAGATGTGAGTTCTGGGAATGCTGTGTTTACTCACCTGGCGGCAGACTTAACTATGACACCCTGCATTTCAGGTTGGTTTTTTTCCCCCCAAGCAGTAGTGGTGTGTTTAATAACTTCTAAAGTGATAAAATGCCTCTTCGTAATAGGTGCTAGGAATTTTACGGGGACTATAATCAAGATGAAAATGCATACATTGTACAAAAATGAAAAATGATGTAAAAATATATAAAATAATTAAAAATAAATAAATTGAAAATAAAAAAATCCCTGAAGTAACTATAGAAAAAAAAATCCTTTCAGGAAGTGTTCCGTTATAGCAGTGTTCTAGATTGGAGAATCTGCTGGGAGTGGAGGTGAGGGTTAGTGGTTCTCATGGTAGCTCTCTCAGAAATGCATGGACATGCTGTATTTCAGAACCCTGGCCAGACAAACATTTCATTGCATTGTGTTATACCGTCTTTACCCCATGTTGGTTCTTTATTGTGAACTTTTCTCCAGTAACAATCAGACAGTTGCCCATGTATTGCCAGCAGATCAGTCCTCGGAGTTCTAGATTACTGTGTCCAGTTACCTCTTTGACATCTCCTAGTGTCAGCATCTCTCCACCTCTCCACGCTCAAAGCTGTTGCTCCTTTAATCTTAACAGTGTCCATTAATGGCTTGATGAACTAGAAGGATGGACTTGCTGGTGGAAAATTTCTCTTTGTTGTCCTCGTATCTCACAGCTAGCCCATCAGCAAGTCTAGTCAATTTTGTCTTCAAAATCTAGAGACTGACCATTTCCCTCAATCCTGCTTCTGCCATCTTGTTCTAAGAATACCATTCATCTGCATTCTGTGCGAGCTTTCTCACAGACTATTCATTTCTGCACACTCTCGCAGTTTGTCTGTCTTCAGCATAGCAGCCTCAGAAATCCTGTTCAGATGCAAGTCTCTCATCTGCTCAAAAGTCCCATTGGTTCCCCTCAGGCCAAAGCACCGTCCTTTTTATGGCTGACAAAGCCCTGCACAGGCAACTGCTGCCCGCTTCCTTTTACATCTCTTTTATTACATATCTAGCACTTTTCACCCTTGCTTTATAGCTACATTAACCTTGCTCTTCCACAAACATGCCAGGCACACTTCTACTTGAGGGTTTCTGCTTGTGTTACTCTGTCCTATAACCCGGGATGTTGTTTCCCAGGTGTCTACATGGCTTAATTCCCAACTTCACTCATTATTTTACTTGAAGGTCATCTCGGTAAGCCCTTTCCTGACAACACTGTATCTCCATTTTCCCATTCACTCTTTTTTTTTTTTTTAAGATTTATTTATTATTTATTTATACAAGCACTGGGTACAGTCAGAAGCACAGGAGGGTGAGAAAATTCACCAGAGCCAGAGTGGAGAGCAGAACAGGCAGAGTGACAAAGTACACTGCTGAGGGGAGCAGCGGGCAACGGGGGGAGGGTCTGCAGCCTGGGATCAAACCAGCGGGCAGCTTCACAACCCAGCGCTTAACCACTGCACCACTGGGGAGGCCCCCTTTCACTCTTTACCTCCCTTCAAGCTTGAATTTCCTTAATAGCAGTTAGTACATCAAACAGACTGGTTTTATTTTGTCTTCCATAACAGCGTAAGTTCCATGAAAGTAGAGATTTTGTCTAGTCATTGCTGTTTTCCAAGTACTTAGAACCATGTATAGCACATAATAGACCTATAAAATATTTATTACTAAATTTACTAAAGATATTAGGGTTTTATGTATGATTAAGCAGGGAGTTTGTGGTGCTTTTGAGAAATAACATGTAATACAACCAATATATGTTTAAGTTAGAGACATGGAAAGTGTAATGTCAGAACAAAAAAATCTTGTAATCTGACCGCTCAGACTGAAATTAGTAGTATGGTATTTAGTTAAAAATTTTAGTTTTTAAAATCCTGTAGTTCAGAAATTAGAAAATATTTAAAAAGGTGGAGTTGTTTCTTTCACTTTCTTTTGTTCAGTTTTAATTCTAAATATGATTAGTAGATTCTTATCTGTTCAGAGTTTATTTAAGCCTATGAAAACAAATATTTTTCTTTCTGCTGCCTCTTTCCCTTTTTTATACAACTTATTTTGTGTTTTTTTTATATATATATATATGTATGTATATACACACACATATTTTGGAACATTTATTTTTGCCCCTTTAAAAAAAAATAGATGTTTTTTGAGCAATTACAGGTTCACAACGAAGTTGAGCAGAAAGTATAGAGTCTCCATATACTTTTTATTTTTTAGATATTTATTTATGCATACAAGAATTGGGGTACAGGCTAGAGGTGTGGGGGGTGAGAGGATTCACTAGAGACAAAGTGGGGAACAAAATAGGCAGATTGACTGAAGTACACTGCTAAGGGGAGCAGCAGGCGAGTCAGGAGAGGTCTGCTGCACTATGTGGGTTAGCTCCTTGGCCGGGGATCGAACTTGTGCTGCAGTGGCTGTGTAAATAGCTTTATAGGTTGCATCTTAACCCCTTGCGCCACCATGGAGGCTCTCCATATACTTTTGAAAGTATTCTTTTTTTTTTTTTAAAGATTTATTTATGCATACAAGAACTGGGATATAGGCCCAGAGGTGTGGGAGGGGTGAGAGGATTCGCCAGAGACAGAGTGTTGAAAACAGAACAGGCAGATCAACTGAAATACACTGCTGAGGGGAGCAGCGGGCAAGTCAGGAGAGGTCTGTGCTGTCATGTGGGTAGCTCCCTGGCCGGGGATCAAACTTGTGCTGCAGTGGCTGCGGATAGCTTCTTGGGTTGCGTCTTAACCCCTTGCACCACCAGGGAGGCCCTGAACGTATTCTTTATATTTAGAAATTGATCTAATTCTGTTTTCATTTTTTTGGGGGGGACAAATTTTCAAAACTCTACCTTATTTCATGCAGTTTAAAAATTTTATTTGTACAGATTGAATGAAGCAAAGAACTTTTGTTCTATTTTCTCAGTTTATTCTTTTTTTTTTTTTTAATGTTTGCTTTGAAGAATTGGGGTGTAGGCTGGAGGTGTGGGGGAGGAAGGGATAAGAGAATTTACCAGAGACAGAATGTGGAGCAGAACAGGTAGATTGAAATACACTGCTAAGGGGAGCAGTGGGTAAGACAGGAGAGGTGTGCTGTGCCCTATGTGGGTCAGCTACCTGGCTGGGATGGAACTCAGGCAGTAGTGGTGATGCCACTGAGGCTTAACCCCTAGGTTAAAGGAGGCCCCCTCAGTTTATTCTTAATTAGATAGCTTTTTTCCTTTATTTTTTTTTAAAGATTTATGCATACAAGAGCTGGGGTGCAGGCCAGAGATATGGGGGGTAAGAGGATTCACCAGAGACAGAGCGGGGAACAGAACAGGCAGACTGACTGAAACACACTGCTGAGGGGAACAGCAGGTGAGACAGGAGAGGTCTGCCTCGCCATGTGGGTAGCTCGCTGGCTGGCTGGGGATTGAACTCGTGCTGCAGAGGCTGTGGATTGTTTCATAGTGTGGTGCTTAACCCCTTGCGCCACCAGGGAGGCCCGTTTTTTTCCTTCAGTAAGCTACTTTTGGATTTATTTTTTTCTCTTCTGTTATTATCTTCCTGCTTTTCTTTGGTTTATTTGCTCCTTTTTCTAACTTTTGAGTTGAGTGCCTAATTCATTTGCTCTTTCTCCCTACAGATGTATTTAAGGCTATGAATTTTCCTTCCAAGGACTGCTTTTAACTGTCTGATATGGGTTTGATGCTGTGTTTTCAATATTGTTGGCTGGGAAGTTTTGTAAATAAGCTTATATTTCTTCTTCTTTTTTTTTTTTTTAAATAGAGGCATGTTTTATTTCTTTCTTTGTTTGTTTGTTTTGTTTATACATGCACTGGGTACAGTCAGAAGCGCGGGAGGGTGAGAGAATTCACCAGAGCCAGATTGGGAAGCAGAACAGGCAGAAGGACCGAAGTACACTGCAGAGGGGAGCAGCGGGCGGCAGGAGGGGTCTGCGCGCCATGTGGGACCCTCCGCTGGTGGCCGGGGAGCAGCCGGGGATCGAACCGGCGCCGCAGAGGCTGCGGGCAGCTTCGCAACCCAGCGCTCAACCGCTGCGCCACCGGGGAGGCCCCTTATATTTCTTCTTTAACCCAACAGATACTTGTAATATTGTAAATGAAGATTTGTTTGGTCTGTATAGCTATTGTGGTCTTTATTAGAATCAGCTCTTAAATAATCTGTGGAGGCTACACTACAGACCTCTAAGATTTCACTGAAACTGCCACCATAAACATAGATTTGAAGTGGAGAACAGAGATTCAAGGGAGTGCCAAGCAAAAGGTCAGGGGCAAGTGATGCTTTTGACTCCACTGGAGTTTCTCTTATTAAAAGACTAGGATTTACTACCAACCTCTTGTTGTCAAACTCTGAACCTGTGTTCTATTTGATGCACCTACACTAAATTCTTTATAGGGAACCTTTTCTCCTGTGTAGTCCCACTGCTGTTGGCACAATCAGGGCCAGCATAAAGGTTATGAGAGTCACCTAATTAAGGTTATGAGGTTATGAGAGTTATGAGAGTCACCTTGCCTTGAGACCCTGAGACCATTTCCAATTCTCCAGGCCTGCTCCTGCTAATGTTCTTTTCTTTTAGCAGAAATTTTAGTATATGACTATATTACAAAATTTCCAGTTCTGTTCATAATCCTTAGCATATTTTAGATTCTTTTAGATTATATTCTGAGCTACCTTTTATTTGTTCAACAAAAGTATGTTAAGTGCCTGTTCTGGAGTGCCTGTACTATGCTATGCATAGTACTAGGGTTATAATACCTGAAGAGCAAAAGTGATCCTTATCCTCATGGATATAATAATGTGGGAAAGAGAGGCAGGGAATAAGCAAATACAAATTGATGAATGTTAAAACAGTGAAGTCCAGGGGCCTCCCCAATGGTGCAAGGGATTAAGCACCGCACTGTGAAGTGATCCACAGCCTCTGCAGCACGAGTTCGATCCCCGGCTGGCCAGGGAGCAGCCCACATGGCGCAGCAGACCTCTCCTGACTCGCCCACTGCTCCCATCAGCAGTGTACCTCAGTCAGTCTGCCTGTTCTGTTCCCTACTCTGTCACTGGTGAATTCTCTCACCCCCGCATCTCTGACCTGTACCCCAGCTCTTGTATGCATAAATACATCTTTAAAAAAAAAAAAAACAGTGAAGTCCAGAATGATAATGGGTTATAGTGATGTGGGCTCTAACCAAGTCTGGAGAGTTGAGGACTGCTTCCTTGAGAAGAAGTGAATAGAACTTAGCCAGTTAAAGAGGGGGAGGAGGGAAAAGAACAGGCCTGGCAAGTGCTAGCATGTGTAAAGGCCCTGAGATGGAAAAAAATGTTTTTTATCAAGAACCTTTCTAAGAAACTGGGAAGGTGGCCAGTATGAATAGAGTGATAAAGCTGGAGGGGCCAGTCGTGTTATGCAGCTCTTGTTTCATTTTAAGACTACTTTTCCCTAAGGGCATCAGAAATGGTAGAGGGCTGCTTTAAGCAGGATATCTATAGATCTGTAGTTAAAAATAACACCTTACAGTGTGAAGGATGCTTTGACCTGGTGAGTGTGGGTAGTAGGAGACTGAAGGCTCAGCTGTCCTCTAGGTCAGTGATGAGGGCAGCTGGTACTGAGGCACTGGTGGGGATTGAAGGCCAGTCTCTGGATTGGAGAGAGGTGAATGGGAATATCACCATCACTTGGCCACTGGATTTAGGTGTGCAGGGAGGAGCCAGGATTGCTTCCTAGGTTTCCAGCTTCAACGTTTGGATTGAACCATTGGCAGAACTGGTTACTGGGTTTGGAAGCATGGAGGGAAGGTTTTAGGAGGATAGGTAAATGACTCAATTCTGGATCAGTGACTTTAATGTGTGTGAGAAGCCTTAGAGGCTGATATCTGGTAGATATTAAGATACAGGTATGGAGCATGGAAGTTTATTTCTCAGATACATCACCTTTATGGCAAAGCCCAGGGAAAGAGGAGATGATCTTGGGTGAGACCACAGAAAGCAGCAAAACCTAGGGCAGAGTCCTAAGGAGCTTGCCATTTAAAGTTTGGATCATTATGGTAAAAAATATTTATAACAAACTTAATTTAGGGTTAGGTATTCTGTGTGATTTATAAATGTGGACTCATTTAAATTTCATAACATCTCTATGAGATAGGTCCTGTTATCTTTATTTTAAAATTGCTGAAAACTGGGGCCTTCGTGGTGGCCTAGGGGTTAAGTCTCAGTGCTATCACTGCTGTGGCCTGAGTTCGATTCCCGGCCACAGAGCTGACCCACATAGGGTGCAACAGACAGCAGACCCTCTCCCCTACACCTCTGGCTGACACCCCAGCTCTTCTACACAAAAATAAAAATCTTTAAAAAAAAGTAAAGTGCGGATTTGATTAAAAAAAAAAAAGTGCTGGGGGCCTCCCTGGTGGTACAAGGGGTTAAGACACAACCTATGAAGCTATCTGCAGCCATTCCAGCGCTAGTTTGATCCCCGGCCAGGGAGCTGACCCACCTGGCGCAGCAGACCTCTCCTGACTCACCCATTGCTCCCCTCAGCAGTGTATTTCAGTCATTCCACCTGTTCTGTTACTCAGTCTGTCTCTGGTGAATTCTCTCACCCCCCATGTACCCCAGTTCTTGTATGCATAATAAAATAAATCTTTTTAAAAAAAGTGCTGAAAACTGAGTGAAGGGAAGTTAATGGAAAAGTTATTGGTAAAACAAGCAGCTGTAGAAACAAGGAAAATGGAAACTTAGTGTTATAAAAATGAGATTGTTGTTGCCTGGTGAAGTCTTCTAAAAGTTGACCAAAGTGAGAGCTATGCAAGGTCCAGGGTTGAGAGGATAGGACTGATGTTGCTACTTTGGCTTGAACAGTTCTGGGGGATGGTGGAAAGGAACCCAGGCTAGGAGGAGAAGAGGAGGACATGGAAACTGTAGACACTTTTGAAATTTGTCTAAGATTGGAAGGGGGTGGTTGCTAGATAGAAACTTTTTTTTTTTAAATTTTTTTTTTTTTTTTTTAAAGGAGGCATGCTTTATTTATTTATTTGTTTGTTTGTTTGTCTGTTTGGTTACACATGCACTGGGTACAGTCAGAAGCGCCGGAGGGCGAGAGAATTCACCAGAGCCAGAGTGGGGAGCAGAGCAGGCAGAAGGACCGAAGCACACTGCTGAGGGGAGCAGCGGGCGGCAGGAGAGGTCTGCGCGCCATGTGGGACCCTCCTCTGGTGGCCGGGGAGCAGCCGGGGATCGAACCGGCGCTGCAGAGGCTGCGGGCAGCTTCTCAACCCAGCGCTCAACCGCTGCGCCACCGGGGAGGCCCTCTAGATAGAAACTTTAAATTGTTCTTATTCAGGTTGGGGGAGACTTGAACTTTCAAATGAAGGTTTAAGCATCAAGAGAGGGAGAAGCTCAGGCTGTTAAGGAAGGAATCAGAGTGAGATTTCCTGTGAAGGCAGAATTCAGTAAGACTCAGGTCATGGTGTTCCTCCCTTATCTAAAGAAGGAAGGAAGGAAGGAGAAATGGATCCTCATTTGATAATGGAATGTTGAGCCAGTTCCTGTTTGATGCTGCTTCTCTTGAGTTGAAGAGAATACCTTTCGGGAGTAGATTTGGGAGGGAGGGCATTTTTTCCAGTTTCACGTCCCTTTGAGGAGTCTGTATTCTGCTGTGTCGTATTAGAGTATTTATAGTAAATGAGTGCTTCATAAAGTTTGGGATTCTCCTGTACTGTTTTTAATAACACCACTTATTTTGAAGTTCACAGAAATTATGTTTTCCTATCCTATTTGGTAGGAAGCAGTAGAGAAATATGAAGAAGTGCTTCATAACTTGGAATTTGCCAAGGAGCTTCAGAAAACCTTTTCTGGACTGAGCCAAGATGTGAGTATGTTTTCTTTTCCTGAAACCATTTTAACCACTGACCCTGAAGAAAATGTCCATATGTAATGTGATATTTGGTTCCCATCCACCTAATTTCTGCTGATGTTTTATTGGGGGGGTTATGTATAACTGTTAAAGAACTCATACTTTCAGATTTCTGGAGTCTCAAGAGAACCCAAATAGTATCTGAATATAATCATTGTGAATAAGGTGTTAACTAATGTCATTTCACTGTGGAAAATAGGCACAATTGCAAAGGGCAGTGAAAACTTTCACAGATATATTTTTACAGCTGTTTTAGAAAACAGGCTTGTAGGGCCTCCCCTGGTGGCGCAGCGGTTGAGCTTTGGGCTGCGAGGCTGCCTGCAGCCTCTGCAGCGCCAGTTCATTCCCTGGCCACCGGTGAGGGTCCCACAAAAATAAAATAAAATAAAATAAAATTTAAAAATAAAGAAAGAAAGAAAGAAAAGAAAACAGGCTTGTAAATGTAACATTTTTTGACATACTAGGAAACAGAATTGATAGACTCTTCTTGAGAGCCTGATAGTTTTTAGGAAAATTATGATTCGAGTTAGACTTAAGTTCGGTCTTACTGCTTGCTAGGTTTTCTGTGTGGTGACTCAAAACTTTTATCTCTGACAGATTTAATCATTAGTATGAAGTTTCAAGCATTCATTAGTGAAATATATTTCATAGTTTCAGGGTCTTAGCCTTAGAGGCCTTTTAAGCATCATATTGTAACATTTGAGGGCATTTTTTGTAGATCAGTTTCTGGGGTAGGGAGCATACCTGGTAAGAGTGCCTGCTACTTTTTGGATATTCTTCTGTGGTGAACTAAAATTCTCTTTTCTGTTCCTCTGGTGTCAAAAACAAAAAAAATGAAATAAAAAAGAAACCCCATAACCTTGAACATTATGTCTTGGCTGAAGACATTCTTCCCCTTAAGCCCAAGCTGCCCTCCTGGGGGTGTCTGACTTCAAAAACTATAGGAAGGCAGCGTGTACATCTCAAATAGCCCAGGATACAGCCACCATCAGCTATTTTCTGCATACTTCTGCTAAGTATTTGCTAAGACTAAGGTACTAGTTCTTTTAAAGTTGTGTTAAAAAACATATTTTTTTTTTTTTTTTTTAAGATTTATTTATTTATTTATACAAGCACTGGGTACAGTCAGAAGCGCGGGAGGGTGAGAGAATTCACCAGAGCCAGAGCGGGGAGCAGAGCAGGCAGAAGGACCGAAGTACACTGCTGAGGGGAGCAGCGGGCGGCAGGAGAGGTCTGCGCGCCATGTGGGACCCTCCTCTGGTGGCCGGGGAGCAGCCGGGGATCGAACCGGCGCCGCAGAGGCCGCGGGGAGCTTCACAACCCAGCGCTCAACCGCTGCGCCACCGGGGAGGCCCTAAAAAACATATTTTAATTCATGTTCACTCATGAATTTTAGTACGTTCTGTTAATTCCAGGTTAAATATTTCTAGACTTTTTTAGATACAATGCTTTTAAATTTTTTTTTAAAGATTTATTTATTTATGCATACAAGAGCCAGGGTACAGACCAGAGATATGGGGGATGAAAGGATTCACCAAAGACAGAGTGGGGAACAGAACAGGCAGACTGACTGAAAAACACTACTGAGGGGAGCAATAGGCAAGACAGGAGAGGTCTGCTGTGCCATGTGGATTGCTCCCTGGCCATCCGGGGATCGAAATCGTGCTGCAGAGGCTGCGAATTGCTTCATGGTGTGGTGCTTAACCCCTTGTGCTACCAGGGAGGCCCTAGATACAATACTTGTAATTCAGGTATTTTCTTATACTTGATCCTCGTTCCCCATATGTTAAGTTGGTGTAGTTTTTTCATTGTATGATGAAAAGATCTTCGTATCTTTTCTGTGGGTTGGTTGATTGCTAATATACCTCTATTATGCTAAAATTTCCTATGACCTCTTTCTGCTCAAAGTTATCCTATCAAGCCTTAATTTTCCATTCAAGTATTTACTTTTTCAATATATAGTGTTCTTTTCTTTTTTGGCTTAATCTTTTTAAAGACACCTTTCATGTGCTAGGCACCTGTGCAAGTCCACTAGATTTTTATAGCAGTCTAAGGAGTAGATATCAATGGCCCCATTTACAGTGAAGGACACTGAGGCTCAGAACAGTAAGAGTCCTTTAAAGCCATGCTGCCACAGTAGTAATTTAGATATGGCCCTAACTGCGGCAGGTCCTTGAATGAGGTAGTTGAATAATTAGTTGACTGACATTGAATAAAATGATGTTTTCTGGGAACTTGGTTTCATACTTCACTTTGCTTGAAGTTGAAGTTTCCAGGCAACTATAGAGGACATTAAGTGAGGGCTTTCTACTTTTCACCCCTGAAAACTGTTTTTTGCACCATGGCTATGGCATCTGTCTGTCTTTATGTGAATCTGTCTTCCTCTGCTTTACTCTAGAGGTAGCTCACGCCCTCCAAGTTTTGTTGACATGTGTGAGATTATTTTGCTTATTTGTACTGTAGCTTTATCTTTACTTCAGAAAGTACTTAGGAAGTGACCCTTAATGAATCACAACCCCAGTGTGCTTGTCAGTACCATCCAACTTGGTAATGCTGGGCTCTTCTGTTACTAGTCTTTCTTCTGTCAGACCTCTGCTCTGATAACCAGTTTTGAAGTTTGTTCCTTTCAAACAGTAATTGGAAGCTTTTCTGTCCAGCCTAGCAGCATCTCTGTCATCTTGTGATATTAGCTCAGTTCATGGGTGGGGACTTAACATTCTGTGTCATGGTTCAGAAATGGATTGTGTTGCCTGATATTGTTGGTGGATATTGCTTTGCTTCAAGTAATATTCTCTATCTTGCTAAAACCAGTGCTCAGCTGGGAGAAGAAAAGGTAGCCTGATCTTGTCTTCCATGCCAACAAAGAGAAATAGACTGTTGTCAGTCAGTTTTCAAGATAGCGGGTGATGATCTAGAAGATAACATGCTTTCTTACTTGATGACTCAACAACCATATGATGTCCTACCATGTCAGGGTCTATAATAGGCCCTAGGATACACTGAGCAACAAAGGCAGCCTCTGCCATCGTGGAGTTAAAATTAAGGGGCGCGGAGTGCAGATAAATGAAAACATAACCATTTAATGTAACAAGGTACTGTGATAGGGGGAGTTCAGACTGGCATGAGTGCATAAGAACATCTAATCTGGCCCTCCTTGGGGGCCTAGAGATTAAGTCTCAGTGTGATCTCCACTATGGCCTGAGTTCCATCCCTGGTCAGGAGCTGACCCACATGGCGCAGTAGACCTCTCTGGTCTTTCTCGCTGCTCCCCTTTGCAGTGTATTTCAGTGGATCTCCCTGTTCTGCTCCCCACTCTGTCTCTGGTGAATCCTCTCACTCCCTGCACCTCTGGCCTACACCCAGTTCTTCTGCTCAAGAGAAAAAAAAAAAACATCTAATCCAACCTTTGGAGGTAGCTGAGGAGACATCTGGGGTCACTGTGATAGAGTCCTGAAGATTCCTTCCCCACACCATCCTGAAACTGCCCAGGAGAACTCCACTATGTGGGAGAGCTAGAGCTGCCACTTTTGTCTTCTTTTCTCCTTTTAGCAGGAGTAGAATCCTTTTGTTTGGTTAAGTGGTTATTGGTACAAGTCCACAATGAAGTCTGGATAAAAGCTTTTCTGCATGTTGCTGTCCTCAAGAAAATACCCTTTCCATACAACCCTTGCTGGGATTATTTCTCATTCTCTAAATATTATCTTCCTTCATATTGTCTCTTGTGCCTGGTAGTAGCACAAGTCAGATTTTTTAAGTTGCTTTAATACCCTTTAGAAAGGAATTAATACCAGAATGATCTTTTTTTCCTGAGTTCCCCACACCCTCAGTCTTAATATATTAGGAATTATGAGCATCTATATTAGAGTTTTAAATATTGATATTGTATATCAATAATCCTTGTACAGGAAAATCTTGTAGATTTTTTTTTTTACCTTAATCTTCATACCTTGGAAAATATCCAATATGATGGAAACATTACAACCAGAAAAACAACTATGGAGAGAAAAGACCTTTTAGGTTTTTCAGTGCAAGTAAATGGTACTTTTAGTATTGGTATTTTATTAATGGGAAGGCACTTCTGTGGCCAGACTTAAAGGTATTATCAGTCTGATTTTTGTTTTTTTTTTAAACTATTTTTCTTTAAAGATTATTTATGAATATAAGAACTGGGGCGTAGGCCAGAAGTGTGGGAGTGGTGAGAGGATTCACCTGAGACAGAATGGGGAGCAGAACAGGCGAACCTACCGAAATCCACTGCTGAGGGGAGCAGTGGGCGAGACAGGAGAGGTCTGCTGCTCCATGTGGGTCAGCTCCCTGGCTGGGGATTGAACTCATGCTGCAGCGGCTGGCATCGCAGGTGATAGCTTGATAGCACTGAGACTTTAACTCCTGCGCCACCAGGAAGGTCCCAGTCTGAGTTTTGAGTGGACTCATTCATGGTTGTTTAATTTACACACACATTTATTGCAGGGGAAACATGGTTCCACTAATTTTCTGCATGTATTTTGTCAACCAGGTGCTGGAAGATGCAGCTCTATCCAGACTGACAAACTATTAGGAAAACATTTATTTAAAAATGTTTGCTGTATCTGTCTGTTTTTTTTGCATTATATTTTTATTTATTTATTTTTATTTATATATATTTTACATCATTGTTCATTTTTCATCTTTTTTTTTCAGTGTTTGCTATCTTTTCTCAGGTGTAGTCCCCATGAAATTTCCACCACCAATTCACCCATGTGCTGTCACCATAGTCCCTTGTGCACCTTATTTATTTTTTTTTAAGATTTATTTTTGTGGGGCCTCCCTGGTGACGCAAGGGTTAAGACATAACCTATGTAGCTTTTGCCACTGCAGCACGATGGCCGGGAGCTACCCACATGGCACAGCAGACCCTCTCCTGTCTTGCCTGCTGCTCCCCTCAGCAGTGTATTTCTTTTTTTTTTTTTTTTAAGATTTATTTATTTATTTATACAAGCACTGGGTACAGTCAGAAGTGTGGGAGGGTGAGAGAATTCACCAGAGCCAGAGCGGGGAACAGAATAGGTAGACTGACGAAATATACTGCTGAGGGGACCAGTGGGCGAGACAGGAGAGGTCTGCCGTGCCATGTGGGACCCTCACCAGTGGCCGGGGATCGAACCGGCGCTGCAGAGGCTGCGGGCAGCTTTGCAGTCCAGCGCTCAACTGCTGTGCCACCAGGGGAGGCCTCTCAGCAGTGTGTTTCAGCCAGTCTGCCTGTTCTGTTCTGTTCCCTACTCTGTCTCTGGTGAGTCCTCTCACCCCCCACACTTCTGGCCTGTACCCCAGTTCTTGTATGCATAAATAAATTTAAAAAATCTTTAAAAAAAATTTATTTTTGTGTAGAGGAGCTGGGTACAGGCCAGAGGTGAGGAGACCTGCGGACTCACCAGAGACAGGGTTGGGAGCAGAACATGCAGATTTACAGAAATAAACTGCTGAGGGGAGCAGCGGGTGAGACAGGAGAGGTCTGCTGCTCCCTGTATGGGTCAGCTCCCTGGCCAGGGATCAAACTCAGACCTTAGTGGTGGGCTGTTGCGGTGATAGTGCAAAGACTTAACCCTTAGGCCACCAGGGAAGCCCTCCGGCATTACATTTCTTTCTTTTGTTTTTAGAGATTTATTTATCTATGCATATAAGAGCTGGGGTACAGGCCAGAGGTACAGGGGTGGGGGTGAGAAGATTCACCTGATACAGAGTGGGGAACAGGCAGATTGGCCAAAGTACACTGCTGAGGGGAGCAATGGGCAAGTCAGGAGAGGTCTGCTTCGCCATGTGGGTTGCTCCCTGGCAGGGGATTGAATTTGTGCTGCAGAGGTTGCAGACAGCTTCATAGGTTACGTCTTAACCCCTTGCGCCACCAGGGAGGCCCCCTGGCATTACATTTCTAAGACATGTGTTTGGTTTTCAGTTCCTTGTGCTTTAGCCAGTCTTTGGTCGAAAACTAACCATTTCAGTTTAAATACTCTTCCCCTGGGACATGAGATTTTAAAAGGTCCACCAAAACTAAACTGATACTTTTTCTTAAATGTTTGACCTAAAATGGTTTGATACACACGAATAGGGAAAATGACAACCATGGGGTCAGTTGCATCAGTGATAGATACTTTGCTTATCTCATGGTGATACTGGAAGTACTAGATACATTAGGAACTGGGCACTCAGACCCATCAGCTTCTGGTTCCCTGATTCTCAGGACTTGTGCAAGAACTTGTGGGGGTTGGGTGAAGTCAGTTTCACTCAATACTACAAGAGAGATTTGTCACCTAACTTCAGCTCATTGGAGTTGACTTTGTGGAGTATGAGTTAACTTGGGCTGGTAAAGTTTGATTGCATCTGTTCATCAGTATTTGTTTTAACAGCTACTTAAAGCGCAGAAGAAGGCCCAGAGAAGGGAGCACATACTGAAGCTTGAGGCCGAGAAGAAAAACCTCCGCACAATACTGCAAGTTCAGTATGTGTTACAGAACCTGGCACGCGAACATGTACAGAGAGACTTCCAAGGGGGCTTGAATGGTGCCATGTACCTGCCTTTAAGAGAACTTGACTACCTCATTCAGTTTTCAAAACTGACCTGCCCTGAGAGAAATGAAAATTTGAGGTAAGGAAATGAAAATGTTCTCCTGAACTAGAGCACATAACTCTTCAATCTCACATCTGTGAGTGTGCATGTGCGTGTTTGTGTGTGTTTAGTAACTCATTAAGAAAATATTAATATCATTCAGCTTGGAAAGTAGCCAGCCCAGACTGACAGAGTTGATCAGCTATCTAGAAGGAAAGTGAATTTCAGTGACCTCATTAACCTGCTGCTAAATTATAATTTTAAGAATAACGTTTGATCAAGTTTTAGCCCTATACAAATATTAACCACAACACGAATGGTGTATACTCTTACTTTTTTTGTAATTATTTCAGACTGTTGTATTACACAAGAGTCATTAATTTCTTGGTATCATCATTATCTGATGCTCTTTTTACGCTGTAAATGATACTGAGAAGTAAATCTGGTAATATAAATTGCATAACCAGATGGGGACTGACCAGTATTTTAAACTGCACTCATCCATTCGCTGTTTTTACTTTGATAGAGTAAATCAGCTAATGAGCAGATCACTGTTTTTGCTTTGTTTGGAAGAGGTTGTTCCAATTTCATGTCTGTTAGCCATGCTAACGTAGAGTCAAATGTCAGTTGTACCTAGAAATCAGCCCTCTGGATATTTGGTGGTGGGTGTGGTGAGAACATGTAATCTTGGAACCTCTTTCAGTTCCATGTTACCTCATTAAAAACAAAACAGGGGCCTCCCTGGTGGCTTAAGGGGTTAAGCACTGCACTATGAAGCAATCTGCAGCCTCTGCAGCACCAGTTCAATCCCCGGCCAGCCAGGGAGAAACTCACCTGGCAAGGCAGACCTCTCCTGTCTCACCTGCTGTTCCCCTCAGCAGTGTATTTCAGTCAGTCTGCCTGTTCTATTCCCTGCTCTGTCTCTGGCGAATCCTCTTACCACCACCCCCCACCCCTGCATTTCTGGCCTGTACCCCAGCTCTTGCATACATAAATAAATCTTTAAAAAACAAAACAAAACAAAAATCCCTGTATTAAGAAGAGACCTAATAAAGCTCTTAATTACCAAGATATAGCCATCTGTGTGTGTGTGTGTCTGTGTGTGTTTTTAATTCCCATTCTGAAAATCTACTCCACTATCATTGCCTGTTTGGCTTCCTTCTCCTTCACTTTAGTGGGTGCAGGGAATGTAGTTTACTTTAATATGTGAAATTTTAGTGAAACAACTTGAAAAATCAGTTTCTCTCTTTAAAGTCAAATGCATCTCTTTAATATCTCCATTCTGCTGTATTTTCATCTAGGACATATACTTGATAATGAAGGATAGTGCATTTGTAACTTTAAACTCTTTGGTGTATGCTTTATTTATTTATATTTATTTATTTATTTTTTTGTGGGACCCTTGCCGGCGGCTGGAGAACAAACCAGCGCTGCAGAGGCTGCGGGCAGCCTCGCAGCCCAATGCTCAACTGCTGCGCCACTAGGGGAGGCCCTTTGGTGTATGCTTTAATGACTGATTTGGTAAACTTTTAGTTCTAAGGAATAATACTTACCTTTTAAATCCGTAAATGGACTTTTTTTTCATCTTTTATGAATTTTCAGTTTTTAAGTTCCAAAGAGTGCAAAGGCAAACAGTGAGTGTTTTGACTGGTAACGGGTTCTGTTGTGTATGTTGTGCTGCTCCATATGTATGTTCTTCTAAAGCTGCTGCTTTTCCTTTTCAGTGTTGAAGACCAGATGGAACAGTCATCCCTTTACTTTTGGGACCTTTTGGAAGGTAGTGAGAAAGCAGTGGTAGGAACAACATGTGAGTCTTCTTTACTTTGGGCTTAAACAGCAAATACTAAACTGTATAGCTAGAAGTTTAATATGAGGATGAGAGCCGAAACTAGGTCAGTCCATCTGAACTTACACATCTGACATTATCAGGAGGATGATCTCTTTGTTTAGTTCTGTCAAAAGCTGTGCCTGTGTAACAGTTCTCACTAAAATGCAACTTAGGAGAGAATTGACAAGCTACTGTGATTTGGGAATAAGAGTGAATGGCTAGAGCTGACTTCAACACTAACTTGGCTACATGGGGATTCTGTTCTCCCTTCCACATAATAGTGCCTTTCTAATAAAGGATCCTAAAATCAGGTGTGGTTAATATTAAGGCTTACCTACTAGACCTGCCTAAGAAAATACGAATAGTTTTGACTACATGGTGTATTGAAGCCTCATTGTCTCTCGATCTGGAAATGATCTAGAGAGAGTCTCTTTGGCTTCCTAAGTAGACTTTGGCTAAACAATGAAGTACAGCAAATGCCTGGACAGGAAGTCCAAATGCCTGAACAAGCTTAGAGGAAAGATAGTGCACTAGAACCTGGAAGACATTTTTGTTACTAGTGATTGCTTCCTTTAAAAAAAAAATCTGTCTAGCTATTTCAAAATTTCTAAGTGCTCTCAAGTTTAAATTATAGAAATTTATTTCTTGGCTAGTTGCAAAATGATAGAAATACTTGGAATGTAGTTTAACAATTTCTTATAAAATTAAGTATATACTTACTATACAACAAAGCAGTCACACTTGTAGTACCCAAGACCATTGAAAGCATATGTTCATGTAAGTCCCTGTATATGAGTGTTCGTGGCAGGTTTATTTACAGAGCCTAGGAATACATCAGCCTGTAATTGGCAACCCACATGTAGCATAGCCATAGAATGTAATCTGCTCAGCGGTAAAAAAAATGAACTATGGATATATGCAAAAACATGGATGAATCACAAACTAATTATACTAAGTTAAACATACCAGGCGTAAATTGAGTACGTATATGATTCCATATTCATGAAATTCCAGAGAAGATACGGTTTCCAGGGAGGCGGGAGAATGACATTACAAAAGGGGATGGTAGAACTTGGTGGGCTGATGCACATATTTATATCGTGGTTCTAGTGGAGGTAATCAGACTAAACCTCTGTTAAAACTGTACACATAAAAATGAGTGAATTTCTTAAATTATTCCTCAAAATTGATTTAAAAAAGAATGTCATAGTACACCTATAAAAGGAATGCAATCTAAATCAAATATAGAAACTCTGCTTAAATTTGGGAATTATGGTTTTAGTGGCTATTAAAAATGAAATAGGCTTCAGTGATGTGCTAGGAGTGATGTACAACATAACTCAGGAGTAATATCTTGATCTTGGAATCTTATAGTTTAATAATCCTTTTGAGATTGTCTAAGATTGGGTTTTTCCAGTGGTTATGCTTGTGGAACTTTTAGTTTTCTAAAACCTTGGGGAAGGAGGAGGGAGTAATTACTAGTTGTTCTGTCTGGGCGGGCAGATAGAAGAAATGACTTTTCTGCTAACTCAGGGAAAAGATAGATTATTTTGTTAATATATTAGAGGCTTTGCTTAGAATCTTTGGTTTTCAGCCAGTTTTTATTGAAGGCCCAGAAAAACTTAACTTGCTGATATTTGGGATTCTGATCCTCCAAATTTTTATTGATTTAGCATGACCTAACTGTGGACCATCTTTACTTTTCATGTTACTAGCAAATACCTTGTAATGATAACTTCTAGTAGTACAGAATGTTGTGATGATGAAGGATGAGTAGGATAAAATGATGTTAGGATTTTTGTTCAAATTTTTTTGTGTACTTTGGGTTATGTGATAACTGAGTCTTGATCGCTCTTTCTTAGACAAACACATGAAAGATCTGCTGTCTAAATTGCTGAACTCAGGCTATTTTGAAAGCATTCCAGTTCCAAAATATGGTAAGGAAAAAGAAATACCATTGGAGGAAGAAATGCTAATAAAATCAGACAAGAAAAACCAATTATTGAAGACTGAGTCTGTGACGGATTCAGGTTGGTAGTGTTCCCTATAGTTCTTTGTTGTGGTTGCATTTTTAACACTTAACGAGTCAAGTCATGGTGGAATGATCACCTTATTTTATTTCGTTAGGTTGCACGTGCATGGCAGTTTTCACTTGCTGCAAGCTGAGACCAGGTTTAGGAAACATTTCTAAGCTTTGTTACTGGGATTGGACCTTACAAGAAACACTCGGTTATGCTGTTACAAGGGAGTACACTGGTTAAAATGAAGCATTTGTGGAATTTGAAAGAATGTTCTTATTAAACTTTTAGTAGCATGATTCCTTTGATAAACTACTGGTTAAAATTATTGGTAGGATAACTACATATAAAATGCTATTTAAAATGTAAGTAGAATCCAAAACTGTGGTATAACAGGAGTGCAGATAACTAAGGTTCACGTAATTATTCAGAAAAAAAATTTCCAAGATCAGTGAAGGAATAACACTTTTCAAAACTCCACTTTTTGGGAGGAAGAAATCCTTAGAGGAAGTAGCACTTTTGCATTTGTTCATTGAGGCCGCATTTATTTAAAAAATATCACTTCTGTGAAGGTAGTTGGGCAGGGTGCTGGTGGCCACTGACAAATTCAAGTCATTGCTTATATTTACTCCTTTGAGTTCTTGGTACTGAGCCCAGTGCTTCAGTGTCTTGAGCAGCTCCTCCTCTGCTTTCATCTTCAGCTGGCCAGAGTGAAGCTGAATTTCAGGGTGAGATCACTAATTTTTACATGGGACTGCAGCTGCAGTTCCCACTAGAAACTGGAGAAGAGATACTCATATTCTTAATCAAAAATCAGTTTTCAACTGTAACTTGTCTTTAAAAATGAACTTAGTGTCAGCTTCACCTAGCCTCAGACCTTGTGCTTTTGACCAATAAGTAATTATTCCTGCCATGGATACACTTAGTTTATAGTCCTTTTGCTGTTTCTCTTTTGTGATAGGCTGTCAAAATAGATCACAGTTATAAGCAGTTTGAAACCTCTCACTTACCAATATTTAATACTCCTTGTATTTTCCCAGAATCTCTTATGGAACATGCACAGCCAGAGATACAATCACAAGAGGTAAGGTCCTGAGCACAGTTTGCTCACTGTGGTTTGTGAGACTTGTATAGTGTGTTGTGTTAAGAGCCAATGCTCTGCCACTCTGCCTATACTTGAACCCTGACTTTGCAGTCCCCCACTTAAGGACTTTGGGTAGGATATACAGCACAGCTGTGTCTGTTATCTGCATACTTAAAACAGGACTATCAGTGCCTACTGCATGGGGATGAAAGGAGCTAACTTAAATTCTGAATTACTTAGGACTTGTCCTGCTGCACACTTAAGTGTTGGAGGTTATCGTTGTTGTTTTTGGCCTTTGTGCTAGAATTCAGTAAGATTTCACTCTCTCCATGATTCACTCATGTTGGTAATAGGAAGAGGGTATTTATCATCTTTGTTAAGTGACGTGGAAACTGGAAAGAAGTGGAAGAGGCAAAAAGCATGGTGTAGTTGCTACTGTAATGAAAAGAAAGAAAAGGCTGACAGTTCAGGAACCATAAGGTTTAAGGTTATTTGAGGCAACTTGAGCAGCAGTGGAATCGCGCTTCCCTCAGCCTTACTGCCAGGGAGTTGGGTGCCTGTATATTTCTGGGCTGGCAGAGGCGGTATAATCTTGGTGGAAGAGCCTGAGCCAGGCAGATCAGCCCCTTGATGTCAGTCTTCTGAGGTGAGTTAGGTTCAGGCTGCTCCTTTTCAGTTATCAAGGTTGTGTCTGTATTAATGGAAGGAAAGGAAAGGGAAGGAGATCAGGGCAGTCTTTTCGAGTAAATGAAGCTGAAGTTTCATGCTAGCACTCAGACCCAGGGAGGCAGGTCAGTGTTGCTCTCAGGGTCTTGGACACATTTTGTGATTCAAGCACCTTTTTTTTTCTGGTCTAGTTTCTTAACAGACGCTACATGACAGAAGTAGATTATTCAGGCAAACAAGATGAGCAATCCTGGGATGCAGATTATGTTAGAAAACCAAACCTCCCCAAATGCTGGGATGTGCTGACCCAACCAGATTGTCCCGAGAAGAAACAGGAATCCTTCCAGTCATGGGAATCTTCCCCTGAGCCCCAGGAGATACTGAAGCCTGCAGTTGCCTTAAAACAGAGGAAACAAGAGATTCCAAAACTCTCGTCCACTCTGCAGGAACTGGAGAAAACTGAGGATGTCTCCAAACCCACATCTGGCCAGTGGGAGCCAGGGACCCCAGGACCTGAGGAACAGGTTCAGGAGGAGCAGAAGCAGGAGCCAGGGAAGAGTTGGCCGGTGCAGCTGCAGAAAGAACTGGACCCACAGAAGCAAACCACAAAGCTTTGGACCCCTGTGCGGGGTGAGCAGGAAGCGGCCACATCCTGGACCCCACCCCTGTGTGAACATCGGGATTCCAGAAAGCCAGAGAGCCTGGCACCCTGGGAAAGCAGGGTGGAGAGTCAGCAATACGCTTTAACACCGTCGCGGATTTCGCCAAAGTCCTGGGGGGTGGCTTCCGCAAGCCTCCTCCCCTGTGACCAGCTCCTGCCCAGGAAATTGAATGCAGATCCCAAAGATGTGAGTTGCTCTGTGTCAGTCTGCTTCTGTCATAGGTATTGATAACTTTTTAGTGCTCTTTAAAAATAAGCAAACTCATGTTAAGTATAAGTGTTTGACTTAACTCTTTGATGCAAAGATTTGTTATCTTTTCTAGAAAATTGGGAAATTAGAAGAACCTGAATTAGTCTATTTTTGAACCAACCTGATGTGAAATTTCTACACTGAGAAAATACTGTTTCAATACAAAATTTTAATGACGTAAGACTTCAGCGTTGTGGCTAGTTCAGACAAGACCATAATATGAACAGTTGGGAAACGTGGCTAGTGTGGGGGGACATGGTAGATTTCATTTGTCATCTTCCATTTGGCACACAGGCTGCTTTTCCTGGCCGACTTCTATTTTTCCATTTCCTGTTTCTCTCACTTCTTTGTAGTCACTCAGATTTACTGTCTTCTCTGGAGAAGGAATATGGTGTTGGCGCATATTCTAGTAGTTGGGGTAGGATCTGAATTAGTTTTTTTTTTTTTTTTTAAAGATTTATTTATTTATGCATACAAGAACAGAGGTGCAGGCCAGAGGTGCGGAGGGTGAGAGGATTTCCCAGAGACAAAGTGGGGAACAGAATAGGCAGACTGACTGAAATAACATTGCTGAGGGGAACAGTGGGCGAGTCAGGAGAGGTCTGCTGCGACATGTGGGTAGCTTCCTGACCAGCTGGGGATTGAATTGATGCTGCAGGGGCTTCGGATAGCTTCATAGTACGGTGCTTAACCCCTTGTGCCACCAGGGAGGTCTGGAATTAGTTTTCTTTTTCCCTTGTAAAATAAGGTTTTTTGGAAATGGGCTTTATGTATTTTGTAATTAGGTTTTAAGGTATGAGACTAGTCCAAATAGAAAGCCTGTTAACGATAAAAAACTTATTTCAGGAAGATAAGAGTTATAATGAATGATTCTTGAATACAATGCTAGTTAATGGATCCTTTATTAAACTTTATTAAATTCAAGTTACTTGCCTTTATTTGTTTTTAAAAAAGGTTTATTTATCTATGCATACAAGAACTTGGGTGTAGGCCAGAGGTATGGGACAGTGGGGCAGTGAGAGGATTCACCAGAGACAGAGTTGGGAGCAGAACAGGCGGATCTACTGAAATCCGCCTGTGCCATGTGGGTTAGCTCTCTGGACAGGGATTGAACTCATGCTGCAGTGGCTGGCGATAGTGTCATAGTGCTGAGACTTAACCCGTTGTGCCATCTGGGAGGCCCTACTTGCCTTTATTTATTTATTTAAGATTTATTTATTTATGCATACAAAAACTGGTGTACAGGCCAGAGGCGTGGAGGGTGAGAGGATTCACTAAGGACAGAGTGGGGAATAGAACAGGCAGATTGACTGAAATAAACTGCTGAGGGGAGCAGTGGGGTGAGCCAGGAGAGGTCTGCTGCTCTATGTGGGTAGCTCCCTGGTGGGGGATCAAACTCATGCTGCAGTGGCTGCTTCATAGGTTGCGTCTTAACCCCTTGCACCACCAGGGAGGCCCTGCCGTTATTTAAATGCATACTTAATGCTGTGTTTACTTTAAGCTGTGATCCCCTGTCCTACCCTGCTCCCGGGGCTCCCGTCACTGGAGCCAAAGGCTTTTTGGCAACAGTGTGAAAATATTTTTACTAGGGGAAATCAGTACAACATCTTCATTCACCTCAGTTCTGCTGCACGGGGAGAGAATTTCAGTGATTTGTTGCTTTTGTACTCCTTTCTTCCTTTTTTCTTGCAATGCTAATACTAGTTTTACTTTTTTAGACCTTGCAGAAGATGGGGCAGCCTTATTTCATTAGCTGTGTGGCACACCATGGTCATTGTGAAGGTGACAACTAATTGGGAGACTTGTATTTAGAAACTCAGTTTAATGCTTTGGGAAAGCTGTGTTGGCAAGTCCACCAGCTGCAGCAGGGACACCCCATGGTGGTGTGCTCACAGGAGGGCTGTCGCTCAGGAAGGCGGAGGCTTGATTACTGGACTTCTGTGGCAGACAGTTTCTCATGGTTGCAGGGTCTCCATGACTGAGAGGATGCTCATACACACCTTGGTGTCTGTCTGTTCTCTTGCAATCTCAGCTGTCTGGAACATGACTACGTACAGTCAAGGGCAAAGTAGAGTTCAAAGCCACAAGATTAGATACCAGGAAGTTAATCACTAAAACTTAAGACTTTTCTCCTAAAAGAGCTTTTCAAATACGCATTTAGGAACTGTTATCTGTTTACGTGGTACCTCCTCCCACTTACCCTGTGCCCTTTGGTGAATTAGAAGGTGTGGAGAGTGGTGATGAGGCCAACCTGCTGATGGCTGTGAGGGAGGGGTCTGCAACCCAGAGGTCTCACTTGGGGGTGCAGCAATCCTCAGCAACTAGCATGACGACAGACAGCTTAGAAACATCTATAGCCCCCAAAGAATATTTACTTTATAGCAAAATACAGTGTTTCCTCATTTCCAGTATATATATATATGAATGTTTTCACATGTTAATGTTTTTGAAATCTTAAGAACTGGGATGTCTGTTTCAAATGTTAGTCATAATTTTTACTGTGGGGGGATTGTCATTGGTGCATCCTATTGTCAGTGGCCTCTTGTTGCAAAGAACATGTGGTAGCTAATGTCTCTAGTGAAACACATCTTCCTTTTTTTTTTTTCAAGATTTATTTATTTATTTATGCAAGGTTGATTGATTAATTGATTTATACAAGCACTGGGTACAGTCAGAAGCGCGGGAGGGTGAGAGAATTCACCAGAGCCAGAGCGGGGAGCAGAGCAGGCAGAAGGACCGAAGCACACTGCTGAGGGGAGCAGCGGGCGGCAGGAGAGGTCTGCGCGCCATGTGGGACCCTCCTCTGGTGGCCGGGGAGCAGCCGGGGATCGAACCGGCGCTGCAGAGGCAGCGGGCAGCTTCGCAACCCAGTGCTCAACCGCTGCGCCACCGGGGAGGCCCACATCTTCCTTTTTAAAAAGCGTGTTTTTGAAAGATTTCCATTAAATTGTACTGAAGGAGGAAAACTGTCTAAAGTTTGTTTAAATGATTTGGAAAACGCATTTATGTGGAAATTCTTTGCCCTTGATGAGTCTGATGTGTGAGCATTGCTATTTCTTTGATGTTGTTAAAATGTGATAAGCTGGGGCCTCCCTGGTGGTGCAAGGGATTAAGTCTCAGCTCTATGAAGCTATCCACAGCCACTACAGCATGAGTTCGATCCCTAGCCAGATGCGCTAACCCACATGGCACATCAGACCTCTCCTGTCTCGCCCGCTGCTCAACAATGGATTTCAGTCAGTCTGCCTGTCCTGCTCCCTACTCTGTCTCTGAATCCTCTCACACCCCCAACCCCCGTGCCTCTGGCCTGTACCCCAGCTCTTGTATGCATAAATAAATCTTAAAAAATAAAATAAAAAATATGTGATAAGCTGAGTTTCCTCATTAGGCTGCTGAACTTGAATTGTGCTCTTAGATGTCATTGGTTTCTCTTGTAGGTGCCTATGCCCATGCCTCAGCCTGTAGGTTCTTCTGCCCTTGCAAAGGATCCAGTATCCAGAAAAGAAAAATTGCAGGATCTGATGACCCAGATTCAAGGGACTTGTAACTTTATGCAAGTATGAGTCATTCTGAGATGAACCTTAAATGATACTCACTGGGCTGCAGCTTCTTTTTTTTTTTTTTTATAGAGGCATGTTTTATTTATTTTGTTTTGTTCGTTTGTTTTGTTTATACATGCACTGGGTACAGTCAGAAGTGCGGGAGGGCGAGAGAATTCACCAGAGCCAGAGCGGGGAGCAGAGCAGGCAGAAGGAACGAAGTACACTGCTGAGGGGAGCAGCGGGCGGCAGGAGAGGTCTGCGCGCCATGTGGGACCCTCCTCTGGTGGCCGGGGAGCAGCCGGGGATCGAACCGGCACCGCAGAGGCCGCGGGCAGCTTCGCAACCCAACGCTCAACCGCTGCGCCATCGGGGAGGCCCTGGGCTGCAGCTTCTGCATGAGCACTAGAGTAAAGCTGTAGTGTAATCCAGAGCCTGGATTCTAATGTCCAGAGAGGGCAGGTCCTGGCTCTGCTCTAAGCGTTGAGGCACGTGCCTTAATTCTGTGCCCCCTTTTCTTGTTTTGAAAACCGATGATGGTATTTTCTGTTCCTAAATTTTTGAGTAATAAAATGAATTAAACACATAAAAAGCTCTCAGTGTGCCAATATTCCTGCAGATACAGATCACCCACTCAGACTGAGAGAACCCACTCTGCTTGGCATTCTGTTCACTGCCATTGTGTAGAGAAAGCATTGCCCGCACGGAGTTTATAGTTTGTAAAAAGCCTAAAAACTTGTTCTGAATCTGTAATCAAATGCAGTTTCGCAGAATTTCAGGATAGTGTGTTAGAGGGATGAAGTAGGCAAGTAAGATTTTTGAATTTTGGAATTAGACCTGTGTTTAAATCCTGCTGCTTTTATTCACCAGCTACATAATTTGTTGCAGATTTCTCACTCTCTACTTTGTTGCAAAGTGAGGGAATTTCTTAGCTTCAGATTATCTGAGGATAAATAAAAACTAGAATAACAGGTCTTTGTATGTAGCTTAAGTATTCAAAATGTTGGGAACATATCTGGAGAACCAAAATAGGCAGCTGTGAGAAGACAATGATTTCTCATGATGACAATATTTACCAGCATGAACTCCTTAAGTGGTTGAGCTAAGACCCTTAGTCCTTCCCACTCATGGGTCAGCTACAATAGAAATGAACTTCCAGGCTAGACGAGGGTTAAATGCTTGTATTTCAGGCTTTAAGTCAGGCGTTTTCTCCTCCAAGTAAGAATGGAGATTTGTTTTAGCACTGACAAAAATATAAGTTTTGATAGTTACTTTATATTTTATTTTTAACTTATTTTCTTCAATAAGGACTAAATTATTAACATCTTGAGGTAGCTCCATCCTGTAGTTATTAGTTATGGGAAACATAATGAGGGATTTAATGATATCTCTTAAATGAATAATCTTTACTTCTACTCATGTAAAATGTTGTATTTAGGAATCTGTCCTGGATTTTGAGAAACCTTCAAGTGCAATTCCATTGTCACAGCAGCCTTCAGCTACTCCGGGGAGCCAAGTAGGTAAGTAAATCAATCTTAAGATCTGGAGCCAACAGCTCTGTCCTAACACCTGTTTCTTGTATAGATGGTTTTTCTCTAGATGCTGTAAGGATGAAACTTAGGGTGCTGATTTCTTCTGAATGTGCATCTCTTTTTTTTTTTTTTTTTTAGAGGCATGTTTTATTTATTTATTTGTTTTTGTTTATACATGCACTGGGTACAGTCAGAAGCGCGGGAGGGTGAGAGAATTCACCAGAGCCAGAGCGGGGAGCAGAGCAGGCAGAAGGACCGAAGTACACTGCTGAGGGGAGCAGTGGGCGGCAGGAGAGGTCTGTGCGCCATGTGGGACCCTCCTCCGGTGGCCGGGGAGCACCGGGGATCGAACTGGCGCCGCAGAGGTCGCGGGCAGCTTCGCAACCCAGCACTCAACCGGTGCGCCACCGGGGAGGCCCTAAATGTGCATCTCTTACCAGAGTTGGATGTGGATAAACACCACCAGTCTATCAATGTGTTCGACTCACCTGGTAACATTTTGGAGAAACTCTCCAAATGGGTGACTGCAAATGCCCAATAGCTTTTTTCCCCTCACAATTCTGTATAAGTGAATTGTGACTGACTGGAACCTGTTGACTTCTTTCAACTCTGTAAATCTGGTGTGGAGGGCTTGGGCCCTGACTGTACTAAAATCGCCTCGGTGATCCTGGGGCCAGCGGTCAGCGGTAACTCCTGCTGGAGTCTAGTTCTGACTCTGGTCTGACACGTCAAACTGGAGGCTTTTCAACACTTGCGTTTACCTTGGCAAGGAGTGGCCTCCGAAAAGCCGTGGGCCATGCTTGATCAGTGTAGGCCTGCAAGGACTGGGGCGCAGCCACCCTCCAGTGAAGTCAGGAGAACAAATGGAGGAATGAATAGCAGTGATGGACACTAATAAGAAGAAACCAAACTGACACATGTGATTGGGAAACATTAATAAATGTAATCAAAGAGAAAAAGATCCTAAGGAGATGACTCAGCTGAGAGTCTCTTTGAAACTTGTGAAACTTAAGTGTATCAGTTAATTAACTGCTCATAATAGCTCAGATTTTATCTTGCAGATTACTATTATTAGTTATTTTTAAGTCTTAGTTCTTTTTAACAATTTTTAGATTGTTTTATTTATTTTTTACTTTCTTTTATTCTTTCAGAAACCTTAAAATGCCATTTCTACCCATTCAATGGAAAAATCTTTCTGTGTCCCAAGTGGAACTAGTGTCTCCTCCTCTATAATCCTCTGAGTCTTTAAAGTACTCAGAGAAGGCTCATGATGGACTTGAGACCTTTACTCTCCAACTGCTTCTTTTATTGTCAAGTACACACCTTAGCTTCCATCCGGTTACATGCATAAGCTTTTCACCCCCTCAGAGATTCACTGTTTGTTTTTTTTTCACTCTGCAGCATCTACAGAACAAAATCTATCCAGTCAAAGTGATTTTCTTCAAGAGCCATTACAGGTAACATCTCCAGATTAATCTTATATTTACACTTCTTTGCTTTGACAAGAATAATCAGAGTAACTGGTTCTAATATACCTAACTACATTACTGAAAATGTTCTAAGGATGTTCTTCAATTAAGTACAGTTGATCCTAAAAAGAGTCCCATCTGTTACCACAGAGGGTTGCTGACTTCAGTGTGGAAAGAGCAAGCGGAGGAATTCAGAGGTGCCTGGTCTGTGAGTCTTTGCTATTGAGCTACCCAAGTCGCTTAGTGTATCAGCACAGTAAAGGCTCTATAGGAGGACATGATTGTGTTTAAGCTGGTCTTCCTCCCTCAGATACACATGTGTGCACATACCCACACCTACACACTGACATTCTGAGGTGCTGGTTCTCCTAGGCACTTAGGGACCAGCCTTAAGATCAGTGAAGTCTGTGTCATATTCCCATCAACAGTAAGTTCAAGGTTCACTCTTTTTCCGGTCATTACCTTTGAAAAAAATTTCTCCGGCTCTCTCTGAAGACCTTGGGATGACTTTCTCCACAGTGCCTGCTTTCACAGGCAGTTCACTGTTCTGACCAGGTTGTTCAGCTCCTGTAATCTTCCAGAAACGTCTCAGTGAAGGCCATTTGTTTGCAGCTCAGCTTTCAGATTGTATTTGTGGAGCAGGTTCCTCATCCTACCCTGGCTTTCACAAAGCCTTTACCTGGGCTAGGAGGTTCTACGTGAGGCTCCCATTAACAAGTTGGACTACCTTGGAAGTCCAGACCTAGGTCTGGCTTTCAAGGGCAGTCCTGTGGAATGGCTGCATCAGGCCACCTGGTGGCTTTAATACATCTGTATATACCTAGATGTCACCTTAGACCTGTTGGGTTGGAATTTCCTGGTGTGTTATCTAGGGATCTGTATGTTTAAGAAGCTCCTTGGGTGATCTGCAGGCCTATTGTTGGGTTTACTGGTCTCCAGCACCATGTTGATTTGCTGTTACGTAAATCCATCCGCAGCTGCTCTGCTCCCCATGCTATGATTTGGAAGCAGAAACTGCCAAAAACTTCTAAACTAATCCTAATGTAAAGATTGTGTCTTTCACTTTTTTGATGTGAAGTGAACCTTTTTACTAAAACTCGGTTATCTTTTAAAGCCTAACTGCTGAAGGACTGGGTACACTGACTCAGGCTCTGTGAGCCAGCCTTGGGTGCTAGAGTTGTATGGTTTCCACAGCCTGGATTATTTACTGCCTTTGGGCAATCATCTCATTGTCTAAGTGCGAGAGCCAGAAAGAAGGCCTACTCTTAGAAATATTCATCTCATAATAGTTCTAATATTTGGGTCAGATGTAAATTGTACCTGTTTTTGTAGGTATAGGAAGTATTGGAAAGGATTTCAGAAATTCTTTTCCATAAATTTGTTTTTAAAAACTGGGCTGCCTTCTTTTTCACTGATGTTCTGTTACCATTAATGAGTTTACATTTCACCCATTTCATTGCTTAGGCTCTGGAAATCACATCGAAGCCTTTAGATCAGAGGAGTAGATTTGCTGACACTTCAGACTTTGCAGTTGGAGATTCGTATGTGAGACTGGTCTATCCAGTTGTGCTGTAGGATTCCTTCTGAGCCACTCTGTGTCTGTCGGTTATTGTAGTCAGTTCCCACCATGTTTTCTCCCCAGCTTTTATATATCTTATCAGCTTTGCTCATTACTGGAATGTTGGGGCCATTGTGATATATGTAGAGTTCATTCTTTTATTTATGCTTCTGCCTACTTCTGCAAGACTTAGGGTGCCAGCGTAGTCCTTATAGCCCCTGGCAGAGCTCGGCCTCCAGAGCTACATATGCCCTGAGTTCATCATCGCAGCAGACCACTGTTGAGTCGAGATAGCAGTGCGGCCCCAGGTATCTGGGCCAGGGACTTGCTAAGTGAGGTCAGGCCTTGATGGTGGCTTTGGTGATGAGCTCTGAAAAGGTGGTGGCGCTGACTGCTTGGACTTGAATCTTAGCTCTGCCACTTAGTTTTGGTGTGATCTTGGGCTCATCACTTTATCTCTGTCTTTGAGTGTCAGCAAATTGGGACATTTATCTTCCCCTTCAGGGTCCTACTAGGTGAAATGTATGAGACTCTGAGGTGACAAGCCTGGTGCTGTCACTCATGAGTGCTCACATTCCCTCAGGAAGCCCATGGCCCAGGAGCCTCCAGCAATCAGAATGTGCCTTTGACAAGCCTTTGTGTCTCCCCATGTCTAGGCTACTGCTCCTCCAGTTACTGGTAACTCACATGCTTTCTTGGTCACCACCCATCAGGCTTCTTCAGGATCTGAAACAGTGTTTCCGACCACAGATGCTCCTGAGGTAATCAGAGACCAGGCGTCTCCATTTCTTTTGTGTCTTAACAGCAGAGCAGCTTCCTGATGAGTGACTGGCAGGAGAAGTGAGTGATGCATGGCGTCCTTAACTGATGCATGGCATCCTTAACTGTTATGATCCTGGAAACCTGTACACTAGCTTTATTGGGACTTTGCTATCTAAGTAGACTTAAGAAAGTATTGCTGTGTCAGATACAATCAGTATATCCCAACTGCTAATGTCAAGAGAGATGAAGTGCTCTAGGCAGGATTACATCAAGTTTTTCACTGTGTAGGTACTGAGGGAATCCACAGGAGAAAATTCCATATAACTGGAGACTTGGTAACCTTAATGTGTTAATAGCCACACTGTCTCAGTTGGAGTGTTACAGTCCCTTTTGACTAAACTCTTAAAAGCATTTGACAGTATTATGTCTGTCCTTTCAATTCTAAGAGAGTTTCTGCCAAATTTGCTAAGTTTCCTTGAGGTAGAAATTGATAGAATGATTAATTTAGTAACATTTAGGTTTTTTTATTTTTAACTTTTTGGTCACTGCTGTATAGAATATATATTCATTATAGAATATAAGAAAATATAGATTATGGATTAGTTTTTATGGTGCTGACTTGTTCTAAATTGAGATTCCTCATTTTAAGAAAAGGAAACATTTGTTAGCAAGCAAGTCACATAACCTGATTCAGCTGCATAATCTCACTGGGACTGATATTAGGTATCTTTTCAAGTCTTTGCATTTAGAATCTTTTATATCAAGAACCTTGCTGCTTCCTGTAGGTAAGAATTACTTAAATTAGATCAGGTTTGGTTTGAACAGACTTAGAAATTCACTAGTAAGACTTTAGAGAAAAATTGACATTGACTAAGCAACTAACCCATGGGTTTTCTTAAGCCTGATTCTGCTGTATAATTTAAAATAATACAGGCTCTTAACTGGAAAATTCTTTGCAGGATTTGAAAAGGACTGGGTTCTCCAAAATTCAGCCCCTCATCTGCTGGCCCTGGCCTGATGATGTAAGACTCACTCAGCAAGCTGTGCAGAGCAGGGACTGGGGCACCCTCCCAGCTGAGATCTGAAACTAAGCAGAAGTGATTCTTCTGCATCCCTGTGTCCAGATGTCGCCCTGGACAACTTGCTGACTCTGCCGGTTGGGTCAGTGTGTGTTGACTGCTGGTTACGGGGCAGCTGATGGGCTGATGCTGCCTCTCTCCTCCCCAGGCAGCAGTCCCCTCCAGCACTCAGCCGTCTCCACTGGCTTCCCTAAACCCTCCTGTGACAGAGGGCTGTGAACGGGACTTCCGGTCACCTGCAGCAAGTGGTAGTTCAGTGGCCACTGACACAGTGCCCTTCCAAGCCATGCAGACAGTAAGTATGAGATGGGGGCGGTGACAAGTCTCGTTCTGGTAAAGAACTCTCCTTGTGTTCACATCTGTGCCTGGGCACTGTGAAAGTCTCAACCTTTTGTCATGTTTTTCTTTGCACTGGTTAATTTTATACTTGTCTAATGGAAATAGTGTTGATAGTGGAAAAGTGTTAAATCCACAGCCTTGAGATTTTGGTGGGTGTTTTATCAGCATATTCCCCTGTCTGAAAATTAGTAGCAGGCAAAACTGAGGGCCACTGTAAGCACATGAGAAATATGTGGGTGAGAAACAGTTTTCTGGTAACAACTTAATAACACTAACCAACACTTACACCACACTAGTGATTTCCTTAGCACTAGTGACCTGAAATCCAGACATATCCTTTGGGTGTTCTGTCATTGCTCAAATTCACATTTGATTTCCATGATCTTTGCCTATTTTCAGAGAATTGTTCAGATTTGTGTGGTTATTTTGAATTACACATCCTTTTATGACTTGACAACTAGGATTGTATGTATATTGTCTAAGCACAGACTCATATGAAGCAGTTACTTAGGGAAAAAACCCAAAAATCCTTAGCCCATAGGCCCTTACAGGATGGTATGTAATGCTCCGCTGCTTTGGTGTGGAGGTGGTGGTGGTGGTTGTAGTGTTGCATAGCAACCCTGATATAAAATGGGTTGCCTAACTGTGGGTCCTCACCTGCGCGCTTAAAGGGGACTTATTAATGCTAAACTGCAGACACATACAAAAGGTTGCTAAAAGGTTTATTTACAAGGGAAGGGGAAATGGGAAATGAATAACTCAGGGAGAAAAAGAGGGAGATAAGTTTGTAAATGCGTCCTACCTGTTCTGCTGACCTGGAATCCCAGTGACCCTCCGAGCTGGTAAAAAACCGAGCATGCCGCGTGGCCAAGAGAGTGACCCCTGTCCACATGGCCGGTTAAATACTCAAACAGAAAACATAGTTGCTTAATGCCACCCTCAGGTCCTCGCAACCTTCCCTTTGGTAATCATGGGATTTGTAGTTCTCAGTGTGTTGATGGAGTGGGGGTGGCATCTACAAAGCCTGTATGGAGTTTGCTCAGGACATCCTTTCCCCCAACAGTGGTGGTGGTAGAGGTGGTAGAGGTAGTGGCAGTGGCGGCAGAAGAGTGCAGCCTGACAGGGCAGCCTGGAAAATGGGCTGTGAACTCAAGACACTGGATTCACCAATGTTATATCACTCCTGCTTGGCCACTTAGAACACTTAATTTTTTGGCTTTTTCTCTTCCTGTCTGTGCGTCCATCCTACATCGTTATTTTCACATCATGTACTAACTTTTTTTAATACTAGTTAAAAGCAAGCATTGATTGCTTATGGAATGAATTTGAGAGTCCCTTGCCTGACACACAATGTGACGTATGAAGTCAGGTGTGATCTGCTAGCTCTGCCTGTGCTTGCCTGCCATTCTTGTCCCCATACCTCTTCTGCTGTTGGCAGTCTGTCTTTTCTACTTTTCCAGTTGAAATTGGATCTTATGTGTTCATTCATTTAGTCATTCAACAGGCAGGTAGTTAGGAATTAGCCACTGGGGTTTAGTCACTGGGGTTGTCCTGGGGAAGAAAAGACAAGTCTGAGTGCTCAGAAGCTGACATTTCTATCTTGGCAGTGGCCCGACTAGAGAGAAAGGTCCTCGTGTGTTGTGTCAGGTCCTCTGTGATGTAGGAACAGTGGGCAGGCTCGGGGGTCTAAAGAGCAGGGAGTGCTGTTTATACACTCTGGCCAGGCCGCAGGTCAGTGTCTCCATGTGGTAGAGATTCTGCAAGCCAGCAGACTCTTCATTTGTCTTTTGTTTTTGGAAAGAATCCTCTTCCCTGACACAGATACCATCTTCATAAGCATCATTTTGATACACAATAGCAGGAAGATTAATTTTCTGCAATTTTATTGAATATGTTTTATTGTTATGGTAAAATATGCACAACATAAAATTTACTGTTTCAACCCTTTTTAAGTGTATAATGATTGGCATTGAGTACATCTACAATATTATACTCTACTACCACTCTTTACAAAACTTTTTCATCATCATAAACAGAAACTCTACCGTTAACTCCTTATTCCTCCCTCTCCCCGGCCCCTGGTAAACTTCTGTTCTACTTTCTGTCTCTTATGAATTTACTGAGTCTAGGCCCTTTATTCAAGTGGAATCACGATATTTGTCCTTTTGTATCTGGCTCATTCATTTAGCCTAATGTTTTCAAGTTTCAGCTCTATTGTAGCTGGACCAGAATTTTATCCTTCTTAATGAATCAGTAGTACTCCATTGTATGCAATTGCCACATTTTCTTTATCCTTTCACATGTTGATGTTTACTTGGGTTGTAAGTACCACAGCCTTTACTATTGGCTGTTATGAGTATCCAGCTATGAACAGTAGTGTACAAATAACTATCCGAGTCTGCTTTCAGCTCTTTGGGGTATATACTGGAAGTGGGATTGGTAGATCCTGTGGTAATGGTATGTTTACTTTTTTGAGAAACCCACAATACTATTCCCACAGGGGCTGTACAATTTTACATTTCCACCAGCAGTGCATGAGGGCTTCTAATTTTCTCCATCCTCACCAACACTTAAATTCTTTTTTTAAGTAATAGTCATCATAGTGGATGTGAAGTGGTATCTCATTGTGGTTTTGACTTACACTTCCTCATTGACTAGTTATGTTGAGCATCTCTTATGTGCTTAGTGGCCATTTGTCTTCATAGGAGAAATGTCTATTGAGGTCCTCTACCCATCAAATAGTTTTTGAGTGTTGGCGTTTTGCTGGATGTCACCCTTTGTCATTTTCTATGAAACTTCATAAACAGTTTAGTATACTCTTGTCTTCTCAGGTATTTAATGTTAATGCACCTCTGCCGCCTTTACGAAAAGAACAGGAGATGAAAGCATCCCCATATCCTGCGGACTGCAGTCAGAGTTATACCACAGCGAGTACACAGACGCTACCCCAGGGCCAGCTGCCGGCCATGCACCTGGAGCCGCCTGCCCTTCCTCAGGAGCCAGGTGAGACCTGTGCCCTGCACACGCTGACAACATGGGTGTGGATGAATGGGAAGCGAAGTCATATCGCCCTTCAGAGGCTCTTTCCTGACTAATGAGCACTACCCCTCACATGCTCAAGTACTGAGGAACACTCAGTATCTTTCCTCTATTTTCTTACATTTATCGGTTAATTTTAACTTTTGCAAGGTAGAACTGAGACAGTTGTATGAACCTTGAATTAAGCCCATAGCTTCAAATCTGATTGCTCTGTTGACCATACACAGTGAGAGGCAGACTGGGCCCTGGCTTGCTGCCTTAGGATGGTGTTGGAGCCATTTTGTGACTCTCACTGTGGACAGGGGGATGTCTTCTCTCTCTCTTCCTTACCGTGAAACACTGATTAAAGTAAAGGTTTAGGGGCCTCCCCGGTGGCACAGTGGGTTGAGCACACCACTGTGAAGCTGTCCGCATCAGCCTCTCTAGAGCTGGTTCGATTCCCGGCTGGCCAGGGAGATTCCCACATGGCACCACAGACCTCTCCTGTCTCGCCCGCTGCTCCCCTCAGCAGTGTATTTCGGTCCTTCTGCTTGTTCTGCGCCCTGCTCTGTCTGGGGTGAATTCTCGCACCCTCCCGCGGCTCTGTCTTGTACCCCAGTGCTTGTATGAATAAATAAATCTTTTTTAAAAAATGAAGGTTTAATTTAGGGACAGGAGTCTATTATGAAAGCAGAGGCATTTTGTGTTCTAAATCCCAAGCCTGAGCAAATGAACTGAGCATTCTGAGCTCTTGGGTGACCAAAGGATGAAAAGATGTAGCTCCCCGGACCTAGTCAGCACTGACCTTGGCCTGTCTTAGCTGTGCTGTGCCAGTACAGGGCAGGTTATTGACATAAAAGCATATTTTTGCCACATGCTTTCCCCTCTGGAATATTAATTAAAATGCATTTTCTTTTACTCCTTGATTGGGAATGTTTAGTCTTTTTTTCTTTAATTGTAGTAAAATATACATAATAAGATTGAGCATTGTCGATATGTGGTTTTGTGGATTAAGTACATGCCTATCTTGTGTGGCCAGCACTGCTGTCATTTCTAGGACTTCATCTTCCCCATCGGGGACTCTGTCTCTGTTTGGCACTGACCCCCTCAGCCCCCATCATTCTATTCTCTGTGAATCTGACAGCTGCACACTTAGTGCACATGAGTAGGACTGCACGGTGTCTGCCTCCTATGACTACCTGTGTCAGTGCACATGACCTGCAGTAGGTGTCTGAGTGGTAACATGGAAGGCTGAGTGATCTCTTACAATGTTATGCAGAGAGAGCCTACATATACATTCATATATGTGTATATACACATACATATATAGGTCCTATATATACATTCATACACACATATTTTCATAATATACATATATAAATACACACACATACACACACGGCCCTGGTATTTTATTTTTTTTTTAATTAAAGGTTTTTTTAAAGGTTTTAAAGGTTTTTTTAAAGTTTTTTTTTTTTTTTTTTTTAAAGAGGCATGTATTTTATTTATTTATTTGTTTGTTTGTTTGTTTGTTTATACAAGCACTGGGTACAGTCAGAAGTGCGGGAGGGTGAGAGAATTCACCAGAGCCAGAGCGGGGAGCAGAGCAGGCAGAAGGACCGAAGTACACTGCTGAGGGGAGCAGCGGGCGGCAGGAGAGGTCTGCGCGCCCTGTGGGACCCTCCTCTGGTGGCCAGGGAGCAGCCGGGGATCGAACCGGCGTCGCAGAGGCCGCGGGCAGCTTCGCAACCCAGCGCTCAACCGCTGCGCCACCGGGGAGGCCCTTTAAAGGTTTTAAAGGTTTTTTATTAAAGGTTTTTTTTATTAAAGGTTTTGATACAGTGACTTATAAGAATAAAGACATTGAAATCTTTATGACTACTTGACTCTTGGACTCAAATTGTTTCCCTAAGCAGCAGGTTACCCTGAAGGAGCTGTTCAAGTAAGTGGTGGCCTCGCCTTCTACCCCACACAGCAGACTGTGTTTCCCAGGCCCTCGCAGCCATTTGTCAGCAGCCGGGGGTCTGCTAGAGGTTGTCCTCGAGGAGGCCGGCTGCTGTTAACCAACTCCTACCGGTCCCCTGGTGGTTATAAAGGTAGGCTCTGAGTACAGTTTAACTGTACTGAATTACTTGTTCTCTATATTTACTTGACTCAAACTTTGTTTTTATCTTATTCTTTTTTTTTGTGGGTTCCAATTATAACACAGTAGAGAATTCCCTATTTCTGTAAAATACAGCATTTTTCACATACTTATTCTCCATAACAGTGAACTTTTTGTATGAAAAGCAGATGACCCTATGACTTACTGAAGTAGAATGGTTGAAAATTTTGTTTTTCTAGGGATGAGTTTTGGTTTTCATATTTGAATAATTTCTCTCATTGACTTCTCAAAATATGTCACAATAGTGCCCCATTTCCAGTTATTTGCCTATCAGAGTGTCTTCCACAGATAAAAACATAAACTTTGATGTGATGTTATCTTAAGTCTTCGATGTGGTTTCTGGTATTCCAGTTGCTGCTTGTTACTGGCAAGTACTCTCTTGACAGAGGCCTAACTGCCCTTACGCCTGCATTCCAACAGTGGAGCATTTCTGCGCTTTGCTGACGTGAAGCTAGCAACATTTTATGAATGTGTGTTTTACTGTGGAAGCAATATTAGTAGCACTCACTTAAAGAAGCATAAATCAAATGATGGCATCATAGGATCTGTGTAACTTTTGATGTGGCATAGACCTAGACTAGATGTTTGCTATAATTTTGCCTGTAATTTCATGTGAGTTGTTTATTTGTTAGGTTTCGATACTTACCGAGGACCTCCTTCAGTTTCCAATGGAAATTACAGCCAGCTACAGTCCCAAGCTAGAGAGTACCCTGGAACTCCTTACTCCCAAAGGGTAAGAAGAGCCGTGTAGTCAAGCGGTCATGCAGTAGCTGATGTTAAGCTTGTGACTGAATTGCACTAGTCCTGGTTTATCTTGTAGAAGGCACTCTTCCTTTTAGAACTGCTTGTAAGTGCTATGGAGAGTTGAGGTGGGAGGATGTACACTAACCCCAGGTGACAGTCATCTATTACCCAGAACTCAGCGGGCCTGAAGGACTTGCAGCCAGCTGTTTGCATGAGCTCACTTAACTTTTGCAAGAGAAACCAGGGCTAAGGAGCAAGTTAAATCACTGGTCATAGGTTCATCTACAAGGAAATGGTCGAGCAAAGGCCAGAGGTAGTTCTTAACCTCCAGGGTCTGCTGGTCTTCATTCCGCCATATGGCATTCACTTGACTTTCCTAGACACAAGTATAGTAGATCCCTTTTTTTTAATAGTGTCATTTTTTGTTCTGGTTTGAAGAGCTCTGTAGATTGTGGTGTTTTGTTTTTTTTTTTTTGCTATATATAATAAGCGGCTGATAGGATGTTAGATGTTCCATTTGACTAAACCTCGGCACTCCTGTCAGAGACCATGTGTGACTCTGCACTGACCTTGCCAGCACCTTCAGCGTGGAAGGCTGGTGGGCCTGTGCATGCATGTAGGCCTGTGTGCACATGTGTGTGAGAATGTGTGTGACATCATGGTGAACTGTGCTGTGCTATAGGAAGTACCTGCACTTGAGAACTTAACAGGTCTGGGAAGTGACACATGTCTGTAGAGGTGTTGCTGGAAAGGGGTAAAGAATAGATCCCTTGTCTAAGTGACATGGCTTCATCCCTGATTTCACCCTTCTCATTGTATGACCTTGGGCATGTCACTTAGAATTGTGAGCTCCATCCAGCTCCTCACGTGAGAGAGGAGGACTCATTTGTTAGTCACTTGTCCTACTCTGAGGTCTTGTGAGGATGCCCGAGATACTCTGAAGATCAAATGAGACACACACAGGTGCTCATCCCCGCAGTAGCAGTACATATCAAGTACGCAAACATTGGCTGTTACCACGCGATCCTCAGCTTCAGAGTACTCACACAGACGTCGGTGATGGAAGAATCTGTCACAGCAGTCTTGTAGTGTTTTTCTTTGCCTCTTTAAAGTTTTCCCAAGGAGACATAAGGCAGTATTAGTGGCTGATGTCTGGAAGGGGGCGAGGGGCTGGCGTGGAGATTTAACTATTGTTCTTGTCGTGTACTTTCTTGTCCTGTTTAAATTTCCTAATACAGGGCCTCCCCGGTGGCGCAGCGGTTGAGCGCTGGGTTGCGAACCTGCTGCGGTGCCGGTTCGATCCCCGGCTGCTCCCCGGCCACCGGAGGAGGGTCCCGCATGGCGCGCAGACCTCTCCTGCCGCCCGCTGCTCCCCTCAGCAGTGTACTTTGGTCCTTCTGCCTGCTCTGCTCCCCGCTCTGGCTCTGGTGGATTCTCTCACCCTCCCGTGCTTCTGACTGTACCCAATGCTTGTATAAACAAAAAACAAACAAACAAACAAACAAATAAATAAACATGCCTCTATAAAATTAAAAAAATAAATAAATAAATAAATTTCCTAATACACTTTTGTCTTTTACCGTTAGTTCTTCTTGTCATGGGCACAGTGCAGGCTGACTTTTACCATACTTGGGAATCAGCTTGAAATGTTGCCTTCTAAACACTTTTTCTTAAAGAAATGGATTACATTTCAGGCAGTATTGAATTGATGTGGTATAAATCTTACCAATTCCCCTGTCAAAGCATAAAAAAACTGTAAAATGTTTTCTAATCATTTTTACAATTTGGCTTATAAATAGAGCAAGACTGAAATAATCTGTTTCCTTGCTTGACTCTTGAGAGCTTAGTGAGATGAGGAGCAGAGGACCATGCCTGTGTTTCTGATTTTCCTTCATTACTTAGCCTGGTATCTTGTACACAACATGCTCTGAACACGGTATTGTTTTTGCAAGTATTTACAATTGGTCATTATAAATCATTGCTCTTGCTTCTCTGCTTTTTCTTGGTATTTGGAAACTTTTGATACTTTGGGCACTAGAGAAGACCAGATACCAAGTGAAGAGGACTCAGTCTCACAATTTTATCAGCTAGCAATCCTGAGTAATAAATAATTACCATCTTATATTTTTGGTGCCATGGTAAATATTGTGTGTCCATTTTAGGATCATTTCCAGCAGTGCTACAAGCGAGGAGGAACATCTGGTGGTCCTCGGGCGAATTCAAGAGGTAAGGACAGTTATCTGAGTAGTTCACCCAGAACATCCGTCTAGATACTGCGCATCCTGTCATGCCCAGAGCACATTGTTTTCCCATTTACCTGGGTGAGGCTTTTAGTCTGCAGTGCTGAAGGACAGAGGGACATGGTCGACCACCAGGAGGTGGGGATGTCTGATGTTGATGTAATTGAAAGTGTGTGTGTGTGTGTGTGTGTGTGTGTGTGTGTGTGTGTGTGTGAGAGAGAGAGAGAGAGAGCATGTGTGCATGTGAGCCTGCTTGCCAGCAGAGTGTGATGAGACCATAGATCATACTCACTGCTGATTTCAGGGAGTTTGATGTGCTGTGTCAGGATGACGGTTCGGTGATGATGGGACACACTAGTTCAATGCATTGCTAAATAGGAATAAGCAGTAATTAAGACAAGTGGAAATAAAAGCAGGAAGCTTACAGTACTTGTTAAAATGTAAAGGACTATTAACGGATTTAGTGTAACTGAGAAAACCAAGCTTTCTGGGGACTAACTTGGTCACAGGAAAACAGGGTCCTTTCCTGGTGTGAACGTGGCTACTGTGGCGGTGCCTTTGCCTCATGTGCATGAGTTTCTGTGGGGTTTCATGCTCCCCGTTAACATGGAGATAAAGAACAAGCCTTCATTGAGGATCTTGGGACCCAGTAGAACCCCCTGAGCGGCTGGTGGCTAGCAGCTCAAAAAGTTGGTTCTTTCGTGTCATCTGTTTCCTTCAGTACTTCCATGCTCATTACTTTGCTCATTACTCTATTCACATGAGTGAGGGAAATGGATGAAAGATTAAGAGGTAAAAATCGCTCAAACCTGGATTGGTGCTTTGCTGCTTAGTATTTAGTTATCCAACCCTCTAAAAAAAAAAGTGAGGCTGCCAGGCAAGATCATTGAGGTCCTTCCAGCTTTAGCCTGAGGGTATTAAAGCATGTTGCCAGAAAACTCTAGAAATTTATACTTAGCCCTATTTAACCCTGCTTGTTTTGAAATTTACTATAAAATGTGTGTTTCTCTGTGTTTTAGTAGCCGACTAACATTAAGTGTTGTGTTCAAAGCTAACTGCTTCATTATGCAAAATTCACTGTTGCTAATAAAACAGCAGGGTGGAGTGACTCTTCCCAGATGAGCAGCCCTGAACGAGACACCGAAACCTTTAACAGTGGTGACTCTGGACACGGAGACTCCCGCAGCATGACTCCCGTGGATGTGCCGACAACAGGCCCTGCAGCAGTCCTGCCCGTGCATGTGTACCCCCTGCCACAGCAGATGCGTGTGGCCTTCTCTGCAGCCAGGACCTCTAACCTGGCCCCGGGAACACTGGACCAGCCCATCGTGTTTGACCTGCTCCTGAACAACTTGGGAGAGACCTTTGACCTGCAGCTTGGCAGGTTTCATTGCCCAGTGAACGGCACATATGTTTTCATTTTTCACATGCTGAAGCTGGCCGTGAACGTGCCACTGTACGTCAACCTCATGAAGAACGAAGAGGTCCTGGTGTCTGCCTATGCCAATGACGGTGCCCCGGACCACGAGACAGCCAGCAACCACGCAGTCCTTCAGCTCTTCCAGGGAGACCAGATTTGGCTGCGCCTACACAGGGGGGCAATCTATGGAAGTAGCTGGAAGTATTCCACCTTTTCAGGCTACCTCCTTTATCAAGATTGAGAGCCAGAACAGTGTCGACAGTAAAGGGGCGGTGTTCTCGTTAGTGGGATTAAAGGAAATGTAGGCTTTACCCTAGGCTGGTCGGTTGAAGAAAATGTTTTCATTTGTAGAGGAATGAGGAGGTCCTTTTTTTTTTTTTTTTTTTTTTGTTGCCTCTCCAAGGTGAAAAATTGCAGGTTGAATGAAAATGAGCACTAATCTGGCACTTTATTAATTGTGACGTAGCCTCGCTAGTCAAGTTGTGAATGTACCTTGTTTGCACTTAGCCCTTAACTGTATCAGCTTACTAAACTGACTGCCTCAAGTTCAGGCGAGTTACCACGCCTTGTTGTGCCTCAATAAAAAGTTTCGTGCAACTCCAGTGTTCTTACTGATTAACCACTTAGTTGGAGGGAAAATACCTAAGTTTTACTCTTCCCCACTGATAACTTTCCAGTGGGAGTGTGTGTGTGGATCCGTGTTATCTAAAATAGGAAGCCTCTTACATGTAAAGCTTCCTTTTAGCATCACTTATCTCTGATGTCCATGTCATCAAACACAAGACCTCACCTGTTTTGTGTTGGCTGATAAAGCCTTGTGAAGCGATTATGTAGCAGAGCGTGTGGGTCTCAGGGCCCACGTGCGGGACCACAGAGGACACAGAAGCGGTGACACTGCAGTGCTACTGCTCCACCACTGAGCCCCACACACGCTCCTGGAGTTTCAACATGATAAGGCAGAATTCAGTCATCAGCAAGTACAGGTCTGCTCAACCAGGGCTGTGTTCCCAAGTCCTGCTTCTGCAGCCCAGTGAGTGATTCTGAGTGTTATTTTACCACTAAGATCTCTTTTTTCAAAGACCAGTTCCCGAGATACAAAATGGGGATGGTGATTGTCAGCTGGGAAGCTCAACTGAGAATACACCTTGGTTGTGCTGAGCTCCCAGCACATTGGTGTGTGTTAACTGTCTGGGCTGCTTGTCTTTTCCTCCCCCTGAAGCCTCAGGGCTCCACGTATGTCTGTACCAGTGGATTTAGGCTCCCAGGGACTGTCAGGGGTTAATGTTAACTCTAGGCCTGTCATCTCCTTCCCTCACACAGTTGGAGCCTCATTAACCAAGAACTTAATACTCTATTTCTTAATTGCTTTAAAAAATACTTTTTAAAGGAAGCAGTTTGATGGCAGTATTCTGGAATATTTCAAGGGCTGGAGAAGGGCCTCATTGCCCAGCCATTGGGACAAGTCGCTGGCAGAGGCAGATACTTCTTGTTCTGACCCATCTTCCACTCAAGGTACTAAGTAATCTGAGGAAGGTTGTATAGGCATTAAGCCATTGTTACTGTTATTTTTTTTTTTTAAAGATTTATTTATGCATGCAAGAACTGGGGTACAGGCCAGAGGTACAGCGGTGGGGGTGGGGGAGATAATTCACCAAAGACAGAGTGGGGAACAGAACAGGCAGATTGACTGAAATACACTGCTGAGGGGAGCAACGGGTGAGTCAGGAGAGGTCTGCTGCACCATGTAGGCAGCTCCCTGGCTGGGGAATGAACTCATGCTGCAGTGGCTGTGGATAGCTTCATAGGTTGAGTCTTAACCCCTTGTGCCACCAGGGAGGCCCTGTTACTATTTTTGAGCTGGGTATGGGTTCAGCAATGAAACCCCAAAACTGAATGAACGAACTCTCTGGTGGTAACTCTTCGTGTTGTCAAAAACGTGGGTGCAGTATGATGGGCTATTTAACATAACACAGCTTTCCAACTTAATGGTAGGTGCTTTGTGGGTTAGGTAAATTAATGTTCTAGTTAAATTAGTTCTTTACTAAGTTCTTGACAAGAAGCATGCAGAAATACGGTTAAATCTTGAAGGGAAAGTTTGCTGTTGTTGACCAAGTTTCATGAGGCCTTTTTCAGCCTGTTGTAGCCATTAGGTTTTCTGCTGTATTACCCTCTTTAGCTTAGTCTCTTCTGCACACAATGTTTACTTAAAATATTGTGACTTTGTTTTGTAGGGTAGCTGTCCAACAAGAAATTCATTACCTAGGGCGCCTCCTGATAATAGTCATGTTTTTGGAGAGTATTTTGAATGAAACACTATTTTCCCAAGTGTGAAGACGGTGAACTAGAAACGAACTATTCTTAACTTAGGGGGATGAGTGCACAAGAGCTTTCATTCTGAAACTATAGCATTTAGAAGACAACAGTTCTTCTTGAAGCTTTTAGTAAAAGTCCAGATATCTGCAGATTTTAGGTTTGCGAGCTATGAGTGGAGATGCATATGAAGACCATTTATGGACCTCCTATAAGGAGCTTATTTTCTACCGGGGAGGCCTTGTACCTCTGCCTGAAGTAGAAGGACATTCCATATAATGACATGCAGTCTCTGGACACAAATGTATGCCGTGTCTTATGGGAGTGGAGTTGGAGTAGGTAGAGTAAGTTTCCTGTTTCCTGAAGTCTTTGAGTTTCCCCTTCACCTTAAGGGATTTCTCCCCCATGAATTGTGAACCACAGACTCTTACTTCCCCTGAGATGATTTAGCAGAAGGCTATATCCCTTGCCTCCTGCATCAGCTGTCGGCCATGCCATTTTTTGGTTTGACCTTTCAACTCATCAGCTGTACTTTTACGGTGCTTTAACATCACATACTGTGTTGTCATATTTTAAGCTTTCCTGTGTGCAAAGTTGAACTCATTAGTTTTAATCACTGATGTTCCTCCATAGTAATTATGATAGTTTATGTATTTACAAGGCGAAATAATTGTTGGCATTTAGACATGAGAGTTTTTCCCAAATGAGCACCACTCTGCTCACCTGATTAGAATGCCAGTGGCTGGCTGTTGACTGCTGACAGGTACAGCTCGCGTGTTATCGGTGCATGGTGCTCGATGTCAGGTTACAGAATATTGTTCCCCTTTATCAATGACAAGTGGCCTTAGACTCACTAATTCTGCTTCTCAAACATCATCCTTTTATTTCTAGAACCTTGTTGTACTTGGGGTAAGTTAGATGGTTAATGTAGCATTTGTAGTGCGTAGGTTCTGTTATGTGCCCTGTGGGGCTCTGGTGCCCCAGGTGAGGTGGGTTTGGGGACGTCAGCTTCACCCACTGCTCAGTGCAGAGCCAGTCTTAAGTACGTCTTTGATTTCTGTCTCACTGATTTCTGTTCTGTGCTTGGAGTTGTATCAGAAGTCAGACCTTTGGGGAGCAGATTAATTTTCTACTCTTATCTTCAAGTATCATTTTCTGGGAGATGGCCTTGATTTTGTCTTCCTACATTTCTGCAGAATTTAAAATTAAAATTGGCTAGGTTTCAAGTTTTTTTTTTAAAGATTTATTTATGTATGCATACAAGAACTGAGGTATAGGCTAGAGGTGTGGGGAGTGAGAGGATTCACCAGAGACAGAGTGGGGAACCGAACAGGCAGACTGACTGAAATACACTGCTGAGGGGAGCAGTGGGCAAGTCAGGAGAGGTCTGCTGCACCATGTGGGTAGTGGGTAGCTCCCTGGCCAGCAGGGGATCAAACTCATGTGCAGAGGTTGCGGATAGCTTCATAGTGCTGTGCTTAACCCCTTGTGCCACCAGGGAGGCCCTAGGTTTCAAGTTTGTAAGGACACTTGTGTCCCCGATCACAGTCTTATGACTCCATCATCATCTTCCCTCTGTAGCCTGTTTCTGACACTGTCCTGGGCTCTTATCTGTATTGTTATATTGGCTCAGAACCTTGTGATAATTGGCAGACTGTTCATCCATAAGAATGGGGGAAAGCAGTGGGAGGCTCTGAATGTGAAGGTGACTGACTGGCTTTGGGCTGGAGGTGGCGTGATTTTGGAAGAACATTCTGAGGGGGACATAGCCCAGAAGCCAGAAGGGATGGCTAAGTTAGAAACATGGGATTCCCCCCTGAAATGAGGGGAGAGACCTGTGTCCAAACATGGACCCATCTGCCATGGGAGGAAATGAGTAAGAAAGGCCAAGACGAGGTAACCTGTTCAGACACTAAAACCCGTCATCACTGGGCAGATATGGAGATTTCAGTACGTGTATTTTGGCTACAAGCTTGTGGAGGAAGTAGACGTTCTTACTGTGGATGGGAATAAAATTGGTATATTTGGGGGTGGCAAGTTGGTATAACAATTAAGATAAAATGTACATGCTTTCCCACCCCCTTTTTTAAGAACTCCTTGATGATTGCAAGTATTATTTTTTGATGTTCTTTATCTCCCAAACAGAAACTTGTAATCATCCTTCTCTAACAGGAGGGAATCTGTCCTGCAGACCCAGGAAACTAAGCAATGTGTACCCCAATATTTGCTGCTGCTTTTGCTTTTTTAAAAAGATTTATTAATGCATACAAGAACCGGGGTACAGACAGGCCAGAGGTGTGGTGGCGGGGGTGAGAGGATTCACCAGAGACAGAATGGGGAGCAGAACAGGCAGAACAGACTGAAATACACTGCTGAGGGGAGCAGCAGGCGAGGCAGGAGAGGCGCCATGTGGGTAGCTCCCTGGCTGGTCAGGAATTGAACTCATGCTGCAGTTTGCGGATAGCTTCACAGTGCTGTGCTTAACCACTTGCGCCACCAGGGAGGCCCCATTCTTTTGCTTTTTTAAATTAAGATATAATGGGCATATAATATTTTGTTGGTTTCAGGTGTAAAACATAAAAGTACATGCTTTTTGACCCAAAATTCCATGGCTAAAAATTTACCCTGCAAATATTTTTGGAATTATTCTAAATTAGATGCACATAGATATTTTGTGTCTCATTAATTATGATAGTAAAAACTGGATAAACAACCTTGGTGCCAATCAATAGAAAATTGTTAAGTAAGTAAAAAAGCAAAGTTCAGAGCAAAAAGTAAAAATCATTGGTGTGATAGGTTTTGTAAGTATGAAGGTCTCCCTTGCAATCTGAAAGTAGAATACTTATGTTTGGTCTGATTTGGTAGGTTAGCTTTAGGGTTTGGAAAATTAATTTTTGTGGAAAACTTTTGAGCATTCCTAGACCCCCACCAACTCAGACCAAATAAGAATGATTTACTTTTGGATGGTTGTGGAAGCCTGTATGTGATTATGTCACTCATAGAAAAGGAATTTGATAGTGTTGTTTAAGGAAAGTTTATGGGGGCGCAGCAGAGATATACTTTTCATTCTTAACCTTACTACTGAATTTGAAATGTATGTCACATTTTAAAGATTTTTTTAAAGAAAAGATAAAATGTTAGATGGCTAGTGTACTTATGGCCTTGCCTTTCCTTGGGTAGAACTTGAAGATTCATTATGATTAAGCCTGGGTTCACACTGGGAAGAGCTTTCACATAGTGACCTACAGACCTGCTACCTCTCATGGGCACTTGCGTTTCACCTCACAGTTTACAGAGTTATCTCAGCTCTGTGATCCTC